AGACCTGGTAGTGGCTGCACCGACTACATATTCACTATTCGTCCGACAGTGATGGTTTTTCTTGACTTAAAAGCAGCGTTTGACTCTGTTGGCTGGAAGATTCTATGGCAGTCTGTCATTGGAAGACATACCTCAGAAGTAAATAAACCTCGTGAAGGCCCTTTACTCGAACACTACCAGTCGAGTCAGTGCTTATGGCAAAGTGTGTCATCTAATTTCGCAACCTCCAGCGGTATCTGGCAAGACTTCCCTTATTTCCATTTTCGGTCACTTTCATCATAGACCTACTGCTGGAAATAACGTTGTCGTCGACTGAATTTTCGGGAATTGATCTCCTACCAGAAGGACCACTTATTGACTTAGGATACGCAGATGACGTAGTCCTGTTTGGTGAATACGCTGATAAAATGCAGAACCTTTTGATAGCATTGGGAAACAATGTCAGGGTGTTTAGGGCGCGTTTCTCCTCTTCCAAATGCAAATTCTTGCTTCAGGACTGGCCTGTGTCAACACCTGAACTAAAGATAGGGAGTGAAGTAGTCGAATGCGTCGACAACTTCACTTATCTTGGAAGTTTGATCAACCCTAATGGGTTGGTGTCTGACGAAGTTTCTATACGGACTCGAAAAAATCGTTTGGCTTTTGCCAACTTACGTCACCTATGGCGAAGGCGAGATACCCGTCTATCAATTAAGAGACGAGTATACTACGCAGCAGTCCGTTCTGTTTTACTTAACAGCTGCGAAACAATGTCACTAAGGGTAAAGGATACTCGTAAGTTACTAGTAGTTCATTACATGTCTTGGAAATATTGCTTGCATCTGCTGGGATTACCAGGTAAGTAATGGTCAGGTTAGACTCAGGGTATTAGGGAATGATGGTAAGTCAGTTAGTGAGGTTGTAAATCATCATCGACTGAGATGATTGGGCCACGTGTTACGTATGCCTGAACACTGATTACCACGACGCGTGTTGGAGGTGGTAGGAAGGAAGTTAGGAGCGGCCAAACCAGTTTTTTTTGTTTGAACACATATATTGGCACAGGAGTGCGCCAAATATATATGCGCCACACAAAACAATGAGAATTCGAAGAGAAAAGAAAAAAAAGGTAAGGAGCGTAAAAAAGAGAGGACAATACCGAAGAGATTGGTGTAAGGTAGTGCGGTAGTAGTGAGGGAACGGAAAGGTACAATCAGAAGAAATCTTTCAGTTAAGGGAGACACAACCACTTTTTATAAAGAAAGTAAATGAAGGTTACAGCAGGATCGCCACTGGCTTCTATTCTGAGCCATAACTGATAACGTCTCTAGCCACTGTGTTGTACCATCTCTCGGACCCCAACCAGGGAGTCGTGAAGGACCAACACAAGCCAGTCCTTTGCAGCTTTCTTTCATGCCACGACACCATGTCATGCACTGACCACCTCTCCGCTTTTTCCAACCAGTCCCAGAGTCGGCAAATAATGCACGACGTGGAATTCTCTGGGACGACATTCGGAGAACATGTCCAAGCCACCGAAGTCAGTGTTTCAAGATGGTGACACCGATTGCATTATCGTCTCTGTGCCCGAACACACGATGCCGAACCTCTGCATTACTAACATGGTGTTGCCACTGGATGTCAGCAATCCTTCGGAGACAGCAATGATCGAACACAGAGAGTCGTCTAACGTCCTCAACTCGGAGAGACCAGGTTTCACAAGCATAGAGCAAAACTGCTCTCACCGACGCGTTGTAGATCCGACCTTTTACAGCCAGACTAACATCACGAAGGCGCCAAAGATGGCCCAGATTGGCATAAGCCGCTCTGGCTTTCACTATACGTGCATTGATCTCATCGCTCACACCCCCACCAGCACTTATGCAGCTACCCAGATACACGAACTTCTCGACTACGTCTATCTGCTCACCATCCAGGGTGAGTACAGGATTGGAATCCTGCCAGTCTTGTAGAAGTACTTTGCACTTGGAAGGTGCAAAGCACATACCATACCTACGGACACTGATTGTCAACTGATTAAGTGCGGATTGCATGGCTTAGGCATTATCGCATAGTAAGACAATATCGTCCGCATACTCAAGGTCGAGAAGTCTTTCTCCAGGCAACAGATGCACACCGCCATTACTTACATTCATCAGAGCTGTTTCCAGAATGTCATCGATGGCAAAGTTGAAGAGGAATGGTGAGATTGGGCAACCCTGTCTAACCCCACTGCTCGTATGGAACAATGGAGAAAGATGGTTGTATGTACTCACTCTGGCTGAGTCGTTTGTACATAGGGCTTTTAGGATGTTAATAAACTTCTCAGGCACACCCTTCTTCAATAGACAATCCCAGAGAACAGCCCTGTCCAACGAATCGAAGGCAGCCCTGATGTCAAGAAACACTACGATTGTTGGCCTTTGATAAGTATGGCGGTGTTCTAACATTTGGCGGAGGGTGAAGATATGATCAATACATCCTCGACCAGAACGAAAACCAGCCTGCTCCTCGCGAGTCAATCTTTCTCGGGTTTTGAACAACCTACGAAGTATGACGGAAGCCAATAGCTTGGACGCAATCGGAAGTAGACTTATCCCCCGATAGTTGTTACAGGAACGACGTGAACCCTTTTTAAAGATAGGGACAACTATCGACTCATTCCATGACGTTGGCACACTCTCTAGTTCCCAAACCTTTTTGAACAACGTCGTCAATTCCTTAGTCAAAAAGTCACCACCATCTTTAAAAAGAGCCGGAGGTAAGACATCTGGGCCTGGTGATTTGTGTCGCTTCAAGAGTTGGAGTTCCTTGCGGACTTCCTCCTCGTTTGGTGGATCAGTCGTCACCGGCCATGGAGGGCAGGACAGTCTGACTGATGTTGCCGGAACAGCAGGCCAGTTGAACTGCCCTTCGAAAAATTCTGCCCACCGTCCAAGACGTCGATGGATGTTAGTGATTGGCATCCCATCATCCTCGCAGATTGTTTCACTCACGCCAGACTTCTTGCTGCCAGTGGCTCGGATGAGCTGGAAGAGCTTCCGGTAATTACCAGATGCAGCTGCTGCTTCCAGCTCATTAGCACGCTTCGACCACCAGGCTTCTCGGTCCTTACGCAAGCTTTGCCCGATTTCCTTACATAACATCCTTCGTTTATGGTCAAACTCACGGTCACCCGGAGTAGACCGACGGGCTTCAATGAGTTGTAAGGAACCAGAAGAAACCCAGTGCATAAAAGCGGGACGTTTCGCAAACCCACAACTGACTGTTCCCGCCATTTTCATGGCGTCATGCAATTGCAACCAATGCTCATCCATACTTTTCGGTGGAATGGTAGCTAGCCTAGAAGCTAGCTCGGTTCGATATTTACTTGCAACAGAAGTTGCAACCAGCTTGCTAACATCAATCCGTTGGTGGCGGTCACTTCGTTGTCCACTGAAAAGTAAGGTAAGATTGGCGCAGACCAAGGCATGGTCAGAGTCCAGATAAGTACTCCAAAAGGAGCGGCAGTCTTGTACGCAACCACGCCAGCGGTAGCTGATCGCAATGTGATCAATCTGAGTCCAGGCTTGAGATGCAGAGGGAGGACGCCAGGTGGCACATTGGCGATGACTGTGCCGAAAGTTAGTGCTAGCTGGAAACAGGTTGTAGTCTGTGCACAGTTGCAGTAGACGGTCCCCGTTATCTGTCCTGCGACTAACAAGTCCCCATCGGCCACCTAAACGACCCTCTTCTGTGCCTAGACGCCCGACCTGAGCATTCAAGTCTCCGGCTAGTACTACAATATCTATCGAACGCACTTTCTGGAGAAGAACAGATAACTGGTGGTAAAACTCATCCACACCAGACGAAGATGCCACAGGGTCCCCGGATAAGCGCACGTAAAACAAGCTTTTTGAAGCGACAGATGGATATCGAATTTGTAGTACTTCGCCAGAGTCTTGAATACGGGTCTCGGATAGACAACAAACACCAATATTAAGACTTTCCAAAGACATAGCCAGGGCATTTGGGGGCCAAACCAGAACGTGACATAAGTCCATAAAGTCACCAACTTCTGGTCTGAGCCATGTTGTTAGATGCAGACTACTTGGTTTGGGTCCATACGATTATCGTAATCAGTGGTTGGAGACTGGGTGATATAGCTCAGAATGGATCACAATGGCGCAAGTGTATACACTCTTCGTTTTCCCTTAAAACGTGAGATTAATGAGGTATGGGAACTTGGACCGATGCATATACGTGCGTCGTCCTACGTTGTAGATGACTGACTGACACTAGCAAATACATCTGCAACCATGTGGAAATCCCTGGATTAAAACTTCATCATGGAGCTGACGATAGTTACTGGGTTTTGTGACTGACGTCATTTGTTACCTGCAACATAGTGGGTTTTTTAAGTAATCGAGGTAACATAAATTATTGTACATTTCATTATGTGCAGATTATAACAACAATTATTGCAGTCTATATCTTCTATCTCTAGTATTTTAATTTGCCTGAAGATATTTTAGAAGCTCATCCAACCAATAAATCAGATCCACCACTTTAAAAATTTTAGGACAAATAATCCTACTTTTAGATAGGTGTGTCTCTCCCAACTAAATATGTCACAGATTTAATCTTATTTATTTATTTGAACACATAAATATTGGTACAAGAGAGCGCCAATATATATGCGACAGATTTAATCTAATGACTGTTGAAATGCTTATCCGTCTGACAATTGTTCTTTACTAGTTACAGTATTTTCAACAGAATTAGGAGTAATTTATATTTTTGTAACATGTGAACTTTCTCTAGGTGCTCTTCTCCGTTTGACGCAGTCCAATAAAAAACCAATTGAGTCAGGTAATATTAACGCTGACGAAGAATTTAATCTAAACAGTCTGAATAAGTTAATTGTGAAGGAACTATCGGATATCAAATTTGATGAGGACAAATATGAATCAGATGATTATAAATCTAGTTAGCGAGATTGCATTAAAATATACTTGTAAATTTCATAAAGCAGATTATTTCCAAAACATCTTTCTTTTTTTGAATGGTATTATAAGAAAACTGAGGTACTATACACAAGCTCACTTTATGTAACCAACAGATTTTATAAGTCTGTTATAAAATTGAAAACATTCGACTCAACAGTTTGGTGCCATCGTGAAATACCTGAAGGCTTTAAGTTGCGTTTAAAATCTTTAATACTGGCACATATATCGTGCCTCTAGTTATAAATAATTGTCACTTGGCATTAGAACTGCCTTTTACTTGGCGCAGAAAACTGAGTAAATGGACCCATTAAAAATCTATGGAAATTACGAATGCATTATACAAAAACATTTTGGACGTCACACTTTTCTTCCATAGCACCAAGCTGCGTGGTCAGCACAAGTGTAGACATGGTCTTTTCGGGATCAATAGCATCCACTCAGTTGAAAGTCAGTGCCCACAGTTATAACACTTCCAACATTTTATCCATTAGCTCGATTCTTGAGATCCAAACCTGTTTGCATTCTCCCTTAATAGTATTGACTTGTCATAGGAAAGATATTCATTCTCCAAGTTGTAGTTCTGTTGTGCAGTTTTCATTATTTCTGGACAATGTCAAAACAAGCTTTATGAGAAGTGACTTATTACAATCTTTTCACGAGGGGACTAACGGCTCGTGCCGTTGACATACTTGACAGCACAGTCTGCATTTTCCAGATGGTCCTTCCCTATGGTTTGATTATTGATTGTATAGCTCTTCATAATTTAATTGGTTTGGATTGGGTCTGCGTTAGGATATTTACTGATTTCTAGAAATCTTCCGACTCCGAAAATAAAGAGCATTAGAAGGCATCACTACGTACCGCCAGTCTTTTCCACCATCTCAGGAGTTTAACTAGTCAACAGCATTCTCACAAAAAAACACTTATACACAGGTTACGTCTGCACTAGCATCAATTTCAACAAGAGTTGCGTATTTACCCGTGCCTAACATGCATATTTACGATTTTCTGTGCTGAAGAGAGAAATCTCGAGTTGTAGATCCTTTACGTTCTATGAAAGTGACAATATATTCGTATCTCTTAACAGTTGCTTTTGTGCAATCCACATAATCATATGATGATTATATCCAGCCAGTGGTCTTCTTAAAAAACACCGTAGTTTGGAATCAATGAGACTAGATTTGCCAGGAACCTAATTTCCTAGAGACTTAAAACCTCAGAGTGAGCCGCAAATAACCAAGCGGCGCCAATATCATTTGGATTTATGTTAGGTTCTTTCTGAGGTGAAAATGAACTCATTTGGTTCAACATAAGACTATATTCATCAGTTTGATTCCACCGGCAGTTGCCTAAAAAAACTCAATGAAGAATGACTACTTCATAGCACTACGTGACAATACACAGGGTTTAAATGATTAAGGTTGTTTCAACTTTTGGATCATCACAGAGCTAAATACGAAATATTGTAATAAGTGATCAAGTAAGACGGGTATAAAGATATGCAGTACGAACTTTCACTGTACAGAGTCATGTTAAAATAACTGCAAAATATTCAGTTAAAAAATGATGAGTAAAGACAAAGTATTTTCCCAAAGCGCGAACATACTGTGACGACGTATGTTCAGAGGAAACAACAAAGTGATAATTTGTTTAGTACGAGTCATAAAATAGTTTGATTATTCTTATTGTTTAGGAATGAAATATTATGTGGTACAATAAATATTACTGCAAGGAGTCGAAAATATGAATCGACCCCACAACCATACATCATCAAAAAAATCACAGATTATCCGAAAGTCTGTACATGAAAAACAACTGTATACATAGAAGACTAAAAAAGAGTTCCCTCGGGCACTACACGATTTACCTCACTGGGAAAACATTAAAAGATTCAAAACATGTAGGCGCAGGAAATAACCAGTAAATTCAATGAAGTGTTTGGAAAGAATAATCGGCAATAAACAGTATATTAGTGTCAAGCATTTAGATTTCTGTAAAAAGGACCAGATAAGTCGATTTCGTTTTGTACAATTTTATGCTAAAGGGACAGTTCAGGAACAATGAAACTAATTTGACAAAATAAACTGAGACAACTCAATAGGTTGTGGAAACAGTGAATGTACAAGATGCGCTGTAAGCGCACGAAAACTGCTATAGTTAACAAGACATGAGTTTAAGGCTTAATTGTGTGGTTGCAAAAGTAGTAATGTTAAATCCCTACTTTGAACTCATTGTATTTAGCAAGACAGAGGAAAAGACGAGATCTTGGAACGAGAACAGTAAGACTGGCTGAAAATTGGTACTAGTATGGAAAACATGTCAGGACTGCTGCTGTGGTCGTCCTAAAGATACCACTGTACGTGCAGGAGTAGGTAATCTTAAGATAGGTATTGTTTGTTGACGACACAAAATGTAATCCGGCATAATATTACTTTGTTGAATTATCCTGCGACGTTGATCTCGCGTGCACATAATGATAGGTTGGTGGTTTGAGTTTCCGAATGAATTGGATAAATGTAGACGATCTAAAGTGGGATATTCATTAGTACGCCATATCATTTCACGATCTTCTTGTGCAGGATCAACGAACAATGCGGAACCCATACCTGGATCCGATAATATGAAACTACGATCGAATTCTTGTTTTATAAAACAATCTTCCTCTTCTACTTCACCTTCGTCATTATCGTCATCAATATCATCTTCATTAGGATTGACAAATGATTTGGAATGTTTTCGCCTGCCGGATGTATATTTTGGTACTATAATGTACGGGTCATTTCGCAATTCACATTTGGAGCCTGTGGATACAGATAAGGGTGTTTCATCAATCGTATATGGAGGTGGGGGCAATTCATGAGCAGTATATCGTGATGCAGAGGTTGGACGAGTATAACCTCGAGGAGCCTTTATATAAGTTGGTTTTGAGTTGGAAGAATTAGATGAGGTTACCATAAAAGGAGATGTACTTTTAACTTGTACATTATTTTCTCCGTCATTATCTGGAGTAGGATAGGGTTTATTCGAATCATTAACATTATCGGCAACCGAAGCCTGCTGAGAAATTGGCAGTTCATCAAGTTCAGAGAAGTAGCCGGGCGTTTGTGAAGTTGTTGAAGAGCTACGAGGACCTCTATTAAACACAAAAGACCATAAATAATGATAAAACAATAAGATTATTTTTTCGCATGTAACAACAGGGGTATCAAGCTAACTGGATATTAGAGTCAAGAAAGGTCGCCACATTTTCGATGTGCGCAAAAATAATATTTCGACATAATCAAGTTGATATATGAGAAAAATAAACTTACCGGTATCTGACCTTGGCATGTGTCATAATATGAGACTTTAAATTTGTTGATTGAGCAAAGCGTTTATGACAGTTCTCAAAGGGGCATATGTAAGGACGATCACCAGTATGTATACGTACATGTGTACGTAAATTGAAATCCAATGAAAAACGCTTGCCACAACCCTGAAAATTTCAATATACAACCAAAATAAGGAGATAAAGGTAATTTTATCACGAACACAACATTTTATGCGATTATCATGAAAAAATTTTAGAAGGTAACTTGAGTAAAAAATACGAACAATTTACCTTTGGTCTTGTTTATCATAGTCTCACCTTGACCGATGTCGTAGAGACAATGCTCTTTTCACTTAGTGTAAAAGTATGAGACATTCAACTAAAGGTTTATTTTGTTGATGTTCGTTTGTCGATAGTTATAAGTGAAACAACAGTTAGTCACAACTTAGGACTTGGACGTATATTCGTCGGTTCAAATTGCCATACCCTATTAGAACAGAGAGATCACGTTATCAAGCTAGACTCCAGAATGGCAGAGGTAGTGGCAATAGAGAAGAATAGGTATCGAAGATACCACTCGAAAAAAAACATAGATTAGTGAAACGAAAAAAGTGATGATGAATTTAGAATCTCAGGATTTGGGTAAGAGCAAAGAATAGATGCACCTGAGCCACTGCAAATGATTTCCAACCATGTCATTAAAAGTCTGTAACCACCAGTTACGATAAAAACGCGGACCCCAATCAGGTAATCTGTATCCAATAGCATGGTTGAGTCTAGTTGTCAATGAGTGTCGATGATATACTTTCTTATGAATTATTTAGTCGAACAGAAGCAGGTAGACCGCAGTATAAATGACAACTGACAAATATGAGTGACGACAGTCGAGAAACAATAATATACCAATATTTGCTGAATGAGTTACGCTTTGGTGAAAAGTGATATCACGGCACATTTATTTAATTCAGTAACCGGATGGCGATTAAAGCTCGTAGGTATAACACGATTTTCGTAACATTGAGGTGTGAAGTACTCTCATAGGATTGACGGTTTTCTCTGCACTCACTCTATGGTGATCTGTTGGAACGTGTTTGGTACTACCTCGATTTTAGTCTATTGGGTATACAACACTTTGGTGTGAATTTTGCTTTGGATAGTGTGAAACTTTGAGTCTAAAAGGTGAACGGATCTAACAACTCTGAGGTTGATCATTATTTCTGAAGAACTTCTCGCTCTTGTTGGGAACATTACTGAGGTTTTGTAACCCGTTTAATAAGAACACTGAAATGTTTTTTTTGCCACAGCTTTCTGTTTTCTATTTATTTCCAATAGTTATTTAGTTGTGTGATGGCTTATTGTTCTAAGTATAGCTTGTTTCAAATAAATATTGCCTTGAGAGAATCCAAAAACTACCTTTATGATACCAAAACTCACCTCAAAGTTGCATTGGAAAGGCTTTTCACCAGTATGAACTAGTTGATGTCTTTTTAATTTGCTAGATTCAACAAATGCTTTTCCGCACTCAGCACAAACATGTACCCGTGGACCGTGTGTATGCAAATGCTTGCGCATAGCAGAATTGTCACGAAAAAGCTTTCCACAACCTTTATGTGGGCACGGCACCGTACGAAGCATATTGCTAGAGTTCGAGGATCCGTACACAACAGGTGGATTAATGTCATTAGATCCAGAGGATTCCAAACATCCTGGAGCAGGGGCTATAGTGGGTAGTTGGTTGTTCTGACATGCCACTGTTTGATGTTTTGCATTTGGACTGAGAACTGTCAAAACTGATCCACTAGGTGTAAACGTATCATTTTTAATGACATTGGCAACATTAAATCGAGGACTTGCGACAAACAATGTCTCAGATTCATCCATACTAGGTCGGATAATCGATTGTGGTAAACGCTTGAAAGTTACACGAGAATGTCCTTGGAATGACTGTGAACCACCGAAACGATAAGCTGAAAAATAAAAGGTAGGGACGGGCCGCCAATATATATATATGAATATTCCTAGAACGGATATATGAGAATGAAATACAGAGTCAAGAATACTGAACTACTTTAATTTCATTGCGATTCGGTCTGGACAGCACAGATATTTACTTAGCCGTAGTCCATGGAAATAGTGTTAAAGCGCGCTAGTTTATAATGCTAAACTCCACAATAGCACACACACAGAATTATTAAGTTTCAAATCATAGAAACCAAAACAAATGCAACATTAATGGCAGTGTGACTAAACGAACAGAATGTTGATCCAAAAGGATGAATGAAATGGAAGGATTTAAAGTAAATAGCAATAAAACTCGACATTTAAGAGTGAGTTTATTAATTTGTACACAAAATCCTGGCACAAGTGAGCACCAAAAATAAAATGGGTGGAACAAATACAGGAGTAACATTGTGAAAAAGAGGAAAGATAGGGAATAAAAATGGTGTATAATAGGAGACGATTCAGTTAACAAAACAACCGTGACTTTCAGTTAAGGTGGTTCCTCTTATGAATGATGTAAGAAGAAACTAGAGTCGGACCATCAGTGGCTTCTGTACTGTATCACGTTTGACAACATATTAAGCCACTGAGTTGAACCAGCTACGCAGTCATGGTTGAACAACAGATGCCAGTTCTATGTAGTTTTTTATACATGGTACTACATCGTAAATTGACCACCTTTAGAACCCATCTTCAAAGTTGGTAAGTAATGCGCGATATGGAAGTTTCTAGGATGACATTGGTTGGTGGCGGATTTGCCTCAACTGTCACGTCACCATCAGCACTCTTATACAATTGCCCACATAGGCAAACTTTTCGACTACCTTTAATAGCTAACCACAAAGTGCCTGCGCACGCTTTCGACATTATTTCAGAAGTCCTTTGCATTTAGATGGGATGTGCACCCTATATATATAGTTCCCAACTAAAAAATACGATTATATCGACTCTATTTAGGAAGTCTGGACTTCTGATAGATAGTCAGTGACCCTAAGGGTTGGTGCCATGTTCTGTTTCACTAACCGCCAATCTTCTAATCCACTCAATCCACGTCTGGATAGGACTGAAACATACATCGACTGCCCTTACCAATGTAAGCTTACAGCCTGATAAACTGACTTATCATATTTACCTTGTACCCTATGTCCTACCGCAGCATTGCACACGCAGTTTTTCTACACTGTGAGTAATGTTTTGAGGACACCTACGACCAAAGACTTGCTTTTCAAATGTCTTCTTTATTTATAGGTTATACTTAACAGAGTTAATTGTTAAGCGGCATACTTGGCTATGCCACAAATGACGTAAGTTGAAGAAGCCTGTTGTGCCCTGATTTCATCAGATAGAAACCCACAAGCGTTGATGAGACTTCGAAGATAAGCAAATTGATCAACGCGCTTAAATGATTTACTACTAATCACTAGTTTAGGGATTGATATAGACCAGTTTAGGAGTAAAATTTTGCATGTATGAGGGGAACGCATCTCAAACATGATTCTAATGTGAGATCAGTCAAATACTGTCTCAAGGTCAAGAAATACTATTATTACAGGACGTTGCCAAGTGTCTCCGTTAAAAAACCTGACGAATGGTGAATATCTGGTCGACATATCCACGTCTAGGTTTATAATCAGTCTAGTTATACCGAGTTTGCTCTTCGTTAGTCCTAATTAAACACTGGATGATTATTGAGGCTAATTTTTGAAACGATGTATATCAATCTGGCTGACTTATGTGGGTATTACAAGATCTCCATGCTTTTAGGGGGATGTGAAGCTCCTAAATACAACTTGGGGGATCAATACTCGTTACATTAATTTATATAGTGTGAATTATACTTATGGACTTCTAATGGATTTCTCACTGATTGGCGTTCACCGATAATTAACCAGTTCCTGAACGATAATCACTATAACCGATACATAACTGTTTACTTGAGGTGTATTTTGAATTTCACTACTCTTGATCAACAAGGCTTCGATACAGATATTCACATATTTACTCTACTTAGCGAAGAAGCGGAGAGGGGATTGGTAGTCTCGTTCACCATACTGAAGTTGTGAAATGCTAGCTTAGTGCACGACCATTTCAACTCTCATAATTTCGAACTATCAGCTAGACCATTTGGATAAAACTCCACCTAACTGACTCTAGTTAATATATTATCCGACTATTATTTTTAGAGATCGTCGGGCTTAACTCACTAGGTTATACTCGACTTTGGTACTCTTTTTATCGTCAGATTGATGAGTGGTCCAGACTGTCCGTTATATTGGACGTAGAGCCTGACAAAATATACGTAGCACACTAGCTCTTACAATGTGTTCCAGGAAGTCAAACGAACATTTACCTGAAAAATGAGATTATAAACATACGACATGGTTCAGATCACTAGTCAACCTCATTGACTGATGCAATGTTTTAGTTTGTCCACCTATAGTTTCCTTTCAACTTACTCTTACACACGTCAGTACTGCATGTCAAGATAAGGGGTGGTTTGGGGTACGTAACACATCTTAATGGGCACACACTAGTCATGAGGGATAGAAAGGAATCCTCATCAAGTACCTCTGTATTGCAAATCCAGTATATAAGAACGTGGACTTCTCAAGCACCAAAAAACGTAATTAGCAGCCTCTAATTCAACAAAGGCGTCTCCATGTGGGAGATAATTTACAAATTTAAAATAAACTCTCACTTTTAGGAGTACACAATGGTGACACTCAAAGTTGGAAGTGGGATTACTGCCGAATGTTATTAAACGTAGTCGACTCAGTTGATGGTTTGCTGTATGATCTGGCTACAGAGGTGCTCCACAAAAGAAACTTTGGCAGATGATATGAACTTTGGGGCACCTATCGGATACTTAAACAAAGTCTTAACTAACGGAATTGAAAATCAGAAATAAGGCTAATCAAGTATTGGTATGTCCATATCCCGAGATCAGATTGTGCTAGAATCCTATCTGTGCATACAGGACAAAAAGTGAAATCAGACTTATTTTTCGGGCTTGTTGCTTGCGAGCTCCAGCTAAGTTAAAGGTGATTACGAAAGCTTATAATTTAAGACATTAGTCAGGCAATTCAAACGTTGATAAGTGTAATCGCAGTTCTTGTCACATAAGCTTAGATAACCAGGGATAAAGTACTACTTGCAAAAGCAAGACGTTAACATTTGTTTAGTCTCCGAAGTACAATAAGTGAACAGACACCGTTATATGAGCATTTTACATCGTCTAAGGATGAGTCATTCGGAAATCACGAGACCATAATTACAGATGCATAAAATCCTCAGCATACTAAGATTTCAGCGACAAATGTTTTAAAGGTTACCTACTACAACACTTACGAAAAACCTAAAGGAGTTAATAATTTCGCAACAAAAGTTTTATCTAGCGTAATGAATAGGAAGATGCGTAATAACGTGGGACGCCAAGATACATACACAAATCGATAAACAATTATTAAAATTTTACTTTGAGGAAGCAATCGAGTTCCAATTGTTCCACTGGCACCCAAAGGGAAATGGCGCCGATAACGTGGTTGTCCATGCAAGATATGAATTTGTTTGTGACCAGCAGATGAAGAGTACCGGCGATTAAACAAAAAGCTTTTCCCATTAAAACCTTCAACTGCGTTGCCATATACGACATACGGCAGATTTCCTGTATACAAATATTAAATATGTAGACTACTTACCCAAGTCAGTTTCAGGGTCAACTTTTATTGATTGATGGGTGTATGGAAGTTTAGAACGTGAGTACTTTATATTTTGCGCCCCATCGTCCGGATCCGAAGGCTCACGATTGTCTGGTTCCTGCTTAGTTAAGTTAATGTGTCGATTTTTCGTCTTTTTCCGCTTTAAATTGACACGTTCATTAGAAGAGTCGTTAGATTCATCCGCCGTAGCTATAGTGGAATCACATACAGGTACACTTTCCGGGCTGTTACTTGTGTCATTTCCAATAACTTCTTCCCTTACACCGAGAAGGTCATTAGGATCCATTAAAAATAGGTCGCCGTAAGGATCACGACCAACAACACCAGGACATCCGTTGTCGAAGCCGATCTCAGTCAATTCACCTGATAGTGTTTCAGGTACAGAATCAAATACATCACTTTTCAGAAGACTCTCTTCGTCTTCAAAATACTCCTGCTTAACAGCCGAGTCATTCAATAAAACCTCAGACATCGCAATCCCTCAATACGAAAACTATCATAAGGAATCCGTCGAATCCAAAACGAACGCGGAGCTATCGGTCGTTGCACAGGAGATGTTTAAAACAAAACCCCCTTTGAACCGAAATTACCTCTAACCACCTTCAAAGTCTAAGCTACCTGCCTCAACAAACGCACTTGTAGTTTCACATTTAACGAAACACTTCCACATCTGTAGTTTAAAATGGAATATTTATAATTTTCTCTCTGAAATATGAACCAAACGAATTCGAAGGGTTTTCATGCTTGTGTATTAGTGAATATATTCAAGATCGTCTCCTCAATTAGATAACCAGTTTTCAAATTCCGTGAACTTAAATTTGTTCTAAATATCTAACAACTTCAGTCCCTCATTCAATTACCTTTCCAGTTGATTTTTCTTTGAGTACGCCATATTTAACTTGTTGGAGTCAAACTGTCTAAAGCTCGGACTATGAACAGTCAAACTACTCCAGTAGCTCTTTTAGGACTTCTGTCGGTCCCAAGCCCACACTGAGGAGGAGGATTGGGCTTGGGGTCAGCAACCCCACCCCGTAGAAAACAACCTTGCTAAAAAAAGCTAACCAGAATAAAGAAATTCAGCCATTTAAACTCCGTCTTCCGAGTTAAACGATCTTCACTAGGAAGAATTATGACGCGTCATGGTGAAAGCCAACGTCCTTCTGCATTCACTAGGCCGATGTCCCACCTAACGATCAGAGCATCAAATAATATAGGTACATGGAATTTCCGGACAATGTAGGAGACCGGGGTGACCAATTAAGTAGCTATTGAAATAAGGTGACACAACATCGTGGTAGTCGGATCCAATGAAACCCACTGAACTCAAGCTGAACAGAAAATGATAAATTCTGGAGAAATGCTGCTGCACTGCAGTTACGAAGAGGAATATTCTCTATACACTCAGGTAGTCACTCTGATGCTGTTCAAACAAGCACAAAATACACTTATAGGATGCAAATCTCACGGATCCAGCATCATCAAAGCATCCTTCAAGATAAAGAAGAAGGGAATCATAATGAATGTTATCGAATGTTATGCACCCACCAATGTTAGGAACAACGACAATGAAGATAAGTTCTGTGAGAGGCTGTAATCAGTCATAACGTAGAAAGCACATCACCACTCTAATGGGAGATCTGAACGTTAAAGTCGGAATGGACAGCACCGGGTATATAGATATCATGGAACGACATGGGCTAGGCGAGAGAAACGAAAATAGGGATAGATTTACAAATCTATGTGCACTCAACAAACTGGTTATACACTGGATATCGAACCAACACACACAGACCTCCCTTTAGATGTCACTCCACCAACGATCGAAAAGATTAGGATACCTACCAGACAAACCCCACAATGCACCAACTTAAGCACCAAAGTCGGACATATACGTTACTGAAAAGATGATGCATAAACTATTGGGGAAGACGTCGGAGGAAGAACAAGTACCTACAGAGAAGGAAAGGATACTTGAGCAATTGTGAGAACTACAGAAGCATCACAATACTACTGGTACCAGGAAAGGTTTTCAACAGTGTTGCTGTATCAAATGAAAGATTCGGTAGACACCCAACTTTGAACTCAACGGGCTGAATTCAGCAAGGATTGGTCGTACACAGACCAAAACACGACACTACAGATCATCGTTGAACAATCGACTGAATGGAACTCGTCACTGTACATAAACTTACTTGACTATGACAGGGAGTTTGACGGTGTGGATATAAGATCCTCATTGAAACTTCTTCGACACTATGGTGTCCTTGAGAAGATCATCAATATCATACGGAATTCATACGATGGAATACACTACAAAGTGGTGCATAAACTACTACTGACGGACGAATTCCAAGTGAGGATCAGAGCTAGACAAGGCTGTCCACACCCTTTTTTTCTTCTGGTGGTCGACTGAATTATCAAGACTTCGGCATCTGACGGGAAGCACGGAATGCAATAGACAGCCTATATGCGACTAGATGATTCAGACTCGGCAGATGATCTGGCGCTTCTATCTCATGTGCACGAACAAATGCAGTTGACGACAACTGGTGTAGCAGCAGCCTCTGCACCAGGAGGCCTTAAGATACACAAGTGAAAAAGCAAAATCCTCAAATCTAAGACGGAGAAAACCAACCCCATCACATGTAGCAGAAATAAGTTTTCAAAATCGACAGCTCTGTAAATCTTCGATATTTGATGCTGACTGCATTACTTTTTACCGGATTTACCTGGCTAAAGGCGCTCGTTCATGCTTCCGCACTAGATCACGAGTGGATACCCTGTGCTCATCTTCTCCTACAACCGCTAACCAGCTAAGATCTGTCACTTTTTGATATATCGATATTCTACCAAATATATCTTCGAACGGCTTCACTTCTGACTTCTGGATTGACTGGGTTGGCACATTTCGATTATAAAAGGTGCTACTAGTTAAGATGTTGTCAAACTTCGAATAATTGCGGCATCATTACACACCTGATGGCGAAACGCTGGAAGAGGTGTAAACTTTAACGTACCTAGACGGCAACATCGAAGAACCTTATGCTGAGAACTCTATGTTGTACCAATACATAATATTGAATAGAGCCATTAATAATAGTAAAAGCGTGAAGGACCTGATGCAAACGTTAAGATGAGGATTTGCAAGGGAAGGAAAGTATTCCTACAGATGAACAACGTATGGAACTCAAACACAACTGTAAACCAATATCAAAGTAGACTGTATAAACCCATTGAGACATTAAATAAAAAAATTAGTTCAGTGAGGAGTTCCTTTCTTCAGTGGACTCGGTTTCAAAGCTGTAAAATTGCAAATATATACTTATTATACAGGATGATAATAATTTAAGGGTGACAGAGAACATTCTTCTCAGCAACATTGCGAATAGCATTCTCTAGCCTATCATTGTTTGCCAATAATCTTAAAGGTAAATTATTGCATCTGACCAACTCAGTGTGCATTTACCAATTTACCTACTTGTGTGGAGCTAGGTGTATGGGTCGTTCGATGCGTACTTCATTCAAAAGGATTCAAAAACATTATCCAGCGTGGCTAAAAAGAGGATAAAACGGCTCAATAAGAAGTTCAATAATCCAACACCTTGTGAGCACACGTCACACAATTAAGACAAACTCTGCGTTCACAGTCATCTACAAGGTAAGTAGACGTTTTTCAAAGACAATTGAAACGCATTTTCTTTGTATTGCTTAGGTGATAGCCATACATTTGAAAAAACTAGAATTGTGTGTCCGAAAGCGATTGATACAACCTCTTGTTTTACCATGGTTATAATGTCTTGTAATTTTTACTTCCTTTCTTCACACTCTTCTTCCTTTACAGGCATCTACTTCACCTTCTACCCCTAACGTGTTCATTTCTGTTTCTATGATCATCCTCATTAGGTTTAATCTCAATTTCAACACTTTATCTTATCAAGCTAAGCCATCGTTTCCCAATGAGTATTTAATTCATTAACGATCAAACTATTAAACTTTCTTTGTTTAAAAATTTTTTAATACCTTTGTTTATTTTACCTCACCGTCAACTTATCTAACAGAAGTTTATTGTCAGTATTATTATAATTATTATCATCCTGTAAATTAAGTATATATTTGCGATTGTACACCTTTGAAAATGAATTCGCTGAAAATAGAACTCTTAGCCGAACTAATCTTTTTTATTAAATACCGAAGTCACAATCCCCAATACAAACATCAGGACAGTTTTACTGTACGGAGCTGAAACTTGGAGGACTACAAACAATTGTCTACGTAATATACTCAATGTCCGTTGGCCGGATACCATCAGCCAAAGTCTACTAGGAGAGACGATAAACCAGGTTCCAGCTCAAGGGGAAATTAAGGAAAGGCGCTAGAAGTGGATAGGACATACTTTATGGAAATCATCAAACTGCACAGCGAGGCATGTTTTAACTTGAAATCGTGAAGGGAAACGGAAAAGAGGAAGGCCGAAGAACATACTGAGTCGATAATTGGAAGCAGATATGAATAGCACCTAAAGACAATTGTACAGGACAGAGTTGGATGGAGAAGAGTGGTGAACAGTCTATTCTCCTTCATGATGGTAACACGCAAAAATGAATGAATGAATCATTTACGAAATCAAACTAACATGATTATAAATTATTGCACGCATTTGATTAGTCTTTGGATCTTCACAGGCTCTCAGAAATAACTCTTCAATTTGATGTATTTACAAATTAGTATCTATTGCCACTGTCAACATATTTAAGAAAGTAATTACTTCCATTATGATTTCGGTTTGTATTTAATAAATTCATGTAAACTGTCAGCAATGAATAAAATAAACTCAATCAAAGAAATGTTTTCAGAACATTTGTAACCCTTTCAGTTGTAGTATCTTAACTGTAATTATATATTCTTACTAATTTAACTGATGAAACTTTTATATTTGAAGGTAAAGATGTATTTGTCACTGCATTCATTTATCACTTTATATATCTCAACTGAACTTACAGCCCAAATTTCAAAGAGTAATTCACGGAACTGTAACTAAATTCGACTGAGACATTATTGAAACTTTGATTTCAGAAAAATATTTCTCAATAACCTCATATTATTTAAATGAGTATATAAATTCAGACTGTTAGTCCATCAGGCTTTTCATATAAGATCTTAGTCGTAAATAGAACATCCGTTTGGCATTATATGACATTTAGTTTCGTACAATATTATATTTTACTATTCCAAGATATATGATAAAATTGATGAAAAGTCTTCAGTCGAAAACCGAATGTTTAATCTTGTCAAATATTCTTCACTTTGTATGTCGAACAAGTAGGTGGATCATCCTCATCAATAAACTTAATCTTTTACATAAACTTGTACTTGATTAATGAGTTGCATGACAAAAGGGAGTTCATATCAAACAACCCTATCAGAAACAAACTTGGATGAAATATAAGTTGGAGATATTAACAAAGCAAGACTTTTGAAGTTATAAGTGATGTGAATAGACTGGGAAAATGTATGAAGTTCCTAATGTGATACTTGATCTTTGTAACTGGTATGACTTTTTGACAAAGTTAGTATACTTCATCGCACATTTTAAAAGTAGATATCAATTTGCTTTATTCTTTTCTAGTACGGTATAATATTTTTGTGTTTATTGAATGGATTGCCTGGGACAGAATTCGATGGAGAATGCCGGTAGGCAGCCTATACACCTTCACGAGGGGTAACAGATGTAGGTAACTCATAAGTATCTGTTAACTCAACGCACAGCTATTTCGTCGACTGAAAATCAATTAGTTTGACTGATCGATGTAGTTGCTATCTTTAAGTCTGTGTTTAGTGATGAAGCTGGTGTTATTACTGTAAATATGCGTTATCAACTGAAACATATTATTACATATTGTGGGACGCGTGATACACAATTAAAAGTTCAAATTCAGTCGATCTTGAGTGAATTTCATAGTAAGTTATGAGAAAATTTGCTGTATGAAACGTCCCCACGATTCATCAATATGAATGGGTTTCAGAATATCAAATGACTTTGAAATCAAGTCCTTATATATTCTTAGTAAGAAACCCTTGAATTAGTTGACATTACAAATAATCTATTTTAATTTTCTTGTAATGATATGGTGACTTCGATCAAAAAACATTTTTATCATGACAATTTAACATCAGTTGTAATGAATTTATATCTAATAAGGTAAAACTAAAAGTTAAAATCGAGAAATATCAGGCATTTCTAAACTCCACTTAAATCATTACAGAATCTGACGGTTTAGTGGAACTCATTTGAAGGAAAAACAGTATGTCATGAACATCTAAATGTGCAATTACTAACACATACGCCATAGAATCTAAACCTGATAAATTAACGAAAAAATGGTGTTGTCTGAATGAAATAAATAGAGTATTTAACAAGACTGCATTACAGAAAAATATAATTTAGTGAAAGAATGAAAATTACTAAAAAGCAAAAATTATTTATGAAAAACCAAACAAAAATAGTATGGGAAATATTGTAAAAAGAAATAATAAAAATGCATTCATTGAATAACACTGATAACAGAAAGGAGTGAGCTTTTATTGTAGAAAAACGTTAGTTTTATACAAAATTGCATATTTAACAAAAAAAAATTAGTTTTTATACAAGAATATATTCCTTATTTGATTAGAACAAATAACAATAAAACTGAAAACGTTCAAATTTAGGTAAACATAAAGAACCTGAGAGTGGAGATTCCGACATCAAAAATTTGAAGAGACAATTGAAAGAATGTCGGTCAGGAAATTTTAAAATCTATAGAGAGTTCACATTCATTGCTGCTTTTCCAGCTTGCTGTAATAAGTCTCGTGATGTAAGAATACACGATGTAGCAATAAGTAGATTCCATCTTCTCCGTTTAGCAACAAATCTAAGAGCTGCAACTTCACCATATGTACAACCGCCAGGAAATGCTACGACAATAGGTTGATCAGTGCTTATGAGAGGTAAAGGATGTGGAGCTGGGGCATTTGGACGGTTCTTCTTAAAAAATATATCATGCTGATATCCTGCAGCTGTTAATGTTGGATCACAGAGATTAACGAGACCCAGATTTGAAGCAACTTATGGGATAAAAAGAGAAAATACTTTAACTTGATTTACAAAAATCTACTTATTTGCGGTCTCTATAAAATAATAATATTTCAACAGTTGAAGGTTTGACTATGTATTATAATAATAATAATATATAAAATAACGGGATTATAAATCCATTATTATGATTAGTGTGCAAAATACATGTGTCATGGAATTAGAAAATCACGTATTGTAGAAGGTAATTAATGAGTAAACTAATTCAGTTTAAGAAATTGTATTCACTTAACGAGTATTTTTGCAATGATAATAATAAACCAACTAAACTAAAATAACCATGAGAAGTGAAAGTTTACGTTAATAGTTGTTTCACAGATATTTCAGTCGATTATCATATTATGTAAGTGAAGTAAAAACTTCAATACAGTAGAATTAGTCTCTGTGAAATTGTCTTTGAATTAAAAAGATTAATAGGTGTTTGATTTCTAGTTGAACCCTTTGTTATGAAATAAAATAGAGAAAATCATAAGAAGAATGATGTGAAAATTTCGGGAAAAGTTATATATAATATGACGTATGCAACTTATGCTGACAGATATAAGTACTATGTAGCAGCAATCTGAAGTGGGATGCCTGGCAGCGGAAGATTGAATTGTAGAGAACAGGAATGTAAAACGGGAGCAATTGTGATAACAACAGAATTGAAAGAATCATGAAGAATGTAAAGGACAACTGAAGAAGGATGTGCAAATAACGTATTTAATGTATGGTTTTCATATTTCATGAAAGCACTTTGTAATGAGATACTACTGAAAATTAAAAGAAACCTACTTGTATACTATTTTAACAAGTTATAAGTAACTTCACAATATACTCACTTATAGAACCAAATCAAGTAAAGAATCACTAGAGATTTAATAAACAGTTACATGCTGTTTTTATTTCATTTCAAATACATAAAAATTATAACTTCTTATAAAATAAGTAAACAGATGAAAAATGATTAAAATATTCTTTGTTTTTTCACAGATGAAGTTACGAGTCAAGTTAGATCACCACTGGAAACCTGGAAGCATTGGACGACCGTATTGTCCTAGTGAGCAACTGCGATTCTGTACACAGGATATGAACCCAGGACCTTCGGTTTCGTGGACGTACACTTCACCTTTAGATCGCTGAGATCACATCTAACAGTGTTAATATCTAACTTCTATCGATTCATGATCTTGCACAACCTATTATCGACTAGTGAATTAAGCCGTAAAAATACTAGGATTTCCATAAATACCCGTACTAATAATAATCTTCTCAAAAGTGACTAGCTTCAAGATGGATTTCCTGGAATTCTAGAGAGAAACCGTGACCACTGAAGTCCAATCTGTATCGGGTGTGAGACAGTTATCCATCTCAAACAAGGGATGAAGGGTTATGCAAGATCATGGATTGATTGAAGTTAGACAATAACACCAATGGATGCCAGCTCAGTGGTCTAGAGGTGAAATGTTCGTTCAAGAAACCGATGTTCTGGGTCCGAGTCCTGCGTGCGGGATCGTGGGTGCGCACTGTTGATGAGTCCTATACTACTAAAGACAATGGGATACAAATTAGTCTTTCTGTGTGGAGAGGGGGAGAGTAAAAAGCAATGGTTAGCATAGAATAATAATACTAACTTTATATTTATGTCAAGCTATCGTTAGCCATAAATAGTTAAATATAAAACCAATAGAAGCTAACTGATTGAACTGATGAAAGAATTTTAGTGTGATATACATGATATTGTATATCTCTATACAGAGTTTTCTAGTTGATAGTAATAGGCAATAGAACTGTTTATAAACGCAAGGCAAAAAATGTTTCATACAAATTCAATTTGCTTTATTGATCTGATTCAATACAATGATATAGTAAGAATGGATTTGTACTGATGATGATACATGAATTACTGACTAATGCAATTGTCACTTCATAAATCTTGTGCTACTGACTAGCAGAAATGTGAAATGACATCGTCTAACCTATGACTGTGAAGATTTATTGTTTAGTAAAAATAAAACTCTCAACATACATATTACATAAACATTGGTACAAGAGGGCACCAAATGCATATGGGTCACACAGTTATCATATATTTTTGTGAGGACTGTTATACTACCCGGGCGCCCAAGCTGAAAATAACAATGAAAAATGATTGTAAAATTTATTTTGATTGCCCTAACCGCAAAATAAAGTGTTTCAATTAAATTATTCAAACTGCCATAACAGTACAAATCAAAGGTTGATGTAGAAAGTTTGTTTTTATTTTAGTTATCACTTGACAGTTTTAAAATATTGATTTCTAATCTAATTAGTTAAGAATATAAGGCTTAAAAAATATCAAGGAACTTCCTCTTTGTAATTGACACTATAAGGAGAAACATACCTTCAGATGGAAGACCCATTCGTTTAAGTGCTTCGATTAATTGTGGTTGGGCAATTAGTTCAAAGTCTGAATGATTTTGCTCAGCAGAAGAAGAGTTTGATTTAACAGATTGAAATTTGGAATCTAGAAGACCAGCTGACCAAACAGACTCTAAAAGCCGAACAACTAAGGGACAATGCTGACCAGAATAAACATATGTAGGTGAAATAACCGTACGATCAACATGTCGATTGGCCTGATTCCAATTGCTCAACTGTAACAAATGATGTAGATAACTGAGAGGAAAAAAAAGTATTAAAAAATATTTATTTGATTAAATTATCAATGTACCGTAGACTAATTTATTAAAAAGGGCAATAATACCTTGGTTTACTAATTAGATAGGAAGATTTGCAAAAATTTCATCGTATAGCTAAAATTAGTTACGTAATTTAGTTGCATAAACAGTAGTAAATTCAGAAGAAAAAAACCTTATGTATCAAGTGAGACTAAGTTGTGATTGGTTACTGAGTGAAGACATATATCCGGCTGTAATAAACACAAAGATCATTTTTATACATCATACGGTTGATTTCTACATGGGTTTCACTGTGTTGATTACTTGTAAATTGTGTTAATAAACTATTGTCTACTTTAATGTGGTTCTCGATAGTTGGTTGGATATTGAATTTCTGAGTCACGCATCTCGTAAAATACTGAGACAGATGGAGTTGCTGAGTTCTCTGAACTAGTTAGTTTAATTGTTGGTCTAGTCGCTTGATCAGTATTATACCATAGTATCTAGTGTCCTAGTGATAGGATCGCAAGAGAAAACAATGGTTTATTCTGTTGCAAGCTAATCACAATCTTCATCAAAATATTTCAGTTGATAATTTCCATGTGAAGGCTTGTATGTTTCCACAGAAGTGGGACACCATAATAATTAGCTACAGCGAAGTCATCTTACAAGTTTATTTAGATTTTGTTGTAAAGGTGGTGTACATCTAAACAACACAAAAAGACTGAGCATTTAGTCTTTATAAAAACGATTACAGTATTGGTGTTTCCGATTGACCTATGGTAAATGCTATTGTTTACGAACGATTGAAGATCTTTCTGATACGACGAAAAATATAGGTACAGACCGGTGGTCTGTCAAATAACAACACCAAGTTAGTAATCCGTACGCTAATAGAGATAGAGAAGACAAGATTTACCAGATATATTCCGCACAGAAGTCAAAAATTGAAAAGGAACAACTCTATTTTTACAGTAACAATCAACCACCCTGGGAGATAACAAAAATTGTAAATTAAAAGTGATAACAACCAAGTAGGTGACAACAAGTGGTACAGCAGAAATGAACTAGGAAAATGTCATTAACACTATTTTCAACAGACAGAAAAAAAATTAAAGCTTGAATAAGTTAAAATGAGAACATGAGAAAGCAGAAAATGTAAAGAGTATGTAAACTATGGTAAGTGCAATAAAAAATAAATACATCTGTACTATGACTGACTGTTATTAGAAAGGAAGGTCAGTCAAGATTGCTATTTAACCGAAATTGGTCTATGGTTTGAAGTATTTTAAAACTGAACAATTTGGACAAACCTCAAATTAGAATATCAGAACTGTTCTATACTTAAATTTGATGTTGTTATTTAGCTTTTAATGTTACATTGAGATAGGATAACATTAAAAATCTTTAGTTTAGTCAACTTATTATTAGATTTACTAGGATGAAAGTCAATTAGGAACCATTTACGGTTCTAAGCTCAATACAAAATGATGAACAACTGAATACGAAAAGCGTTTTTTACCTTCCCTACACGCAAATGCTTAATGAGATAACCTTTTGGTTCAACTAAACCAGAGATACTCACTGAGGACACTGGGTGATGGAAACGATACACTGCTAATTAACAGAAGTTGAAGAGTGTGAGGGGAATGTCGGGATAGTGACTGATCCCTCTAAAATTGTCATAACTCGTCATTTGTCTTCTGAGTGAGGATAGATGAATAACAATATCATATTACTACTTATTCATCAGATACGGCAAATATTGAACCAATTCAACCCATTTAGAGCATTGAAATTTAAAAAATCTTACTTGTAACGAGATTTTTGTCGTTGTGTTAATTTTAGCTTGGCAACAGTATGAGTTAGTGTATGACTGGACTTTTTTGTTAAGTTATTTGTTTGCGCCACAAACATGCTTGATTGTGGGTCAGTTGGATGATTGTTTGTAACAGATTTTTTTGCAGATGATATTTCCGGGAGTTTAGAACGGGGATATAATAACCCAAGTGAGGATAACGCTTCAAGCATAGGGAAGGTGATTTGACCAGCAGCATGTATTATGGCGCGACTCATTACCTCGTATAATTCATCACCTAAGCCATCATGCAAAACACAATTCAATGCAACCAGACGGAGCCCATCAATTAGATGATCACCATGGCTAAAAAATGTCACATAAAAATCAGTAAGCCTGAAGCAAACGGATATATATATTGATATTGTGAACATTAGATAATTAGAAACAATATTATAAGGCAGATCAACTAAGTCTAGAAGTAGATGACATTAGAAAATCAACAAAAAAGTGCATTCACAATGGATGACTATAAAGAATAATGCGAATCGCGTCTAAGCCTAAGAGTGAAAACTTCAGAAGTGATTTAAGATAATTAAGTATATTATTATGATACGAAAAATTGATAAAGAGAAAAATATATTAATCGAGGTTATATTGTACACTTGCTGATTTGCTTCTATGGAGAGGTTGGGATAATTGAAGATTGTGTAAAGGATAATAATCGGTTGGTTAAAATACACAAAAGATTGATCCGAAAAATCTTCAGACGGTTGAAAGTAAAGTCGAATCAGAGACAAGTCAACTTTTGAAAGAACTAAAGTCAGTCATCGACAACTTTTATGGTTCCTTTTATATCCCAAATAATACACTACATCACATTTCTGTATTTCACCCAAAATTCATAAATCAGACATCCCACTAAAACCTATAGTGGACTTTACAAGCACGGCTGTGTATTATCTAAATATCTGAGCAGCATATTAAAGCCACTTTAATACAACTTACATAATGTAATTAAAGATTCCTATGATTTTAAGTCAGGAATATCGGAATCAATTATCGAAAAAAAATGAAACCATGGTAAGCTATGGTTTTGCATTCTAATACATGAGAACTCCCATTGATATATGACTAAACTTTATTAGCGGTTTACCAGAGAATGTTAATAATTTATCTGCCAGATGTCCTTTAAGCATAAGTCTAACCATGAAATCCCTATAGCCGTACTTAAATTCGACCTTATTTACATTCTATGGGACATTGTAAAAGTAAACAAACGGGATAGCAATGAGGTCCCCCCGTGTCCACGATTGTAGCTAACTTGTTTACGTCACATATGGAATCAGATATCTTCGCCAATGACATTAAATCACAAAATTGGCTCAGATATATGGATGATACTTTTGTTGTCATTAAAAAGACTTTCCTACGAACTTTTCTAAACTGATCAATACACTTTCGTCCTACATTAAATTTGCTTACGAGGATGAAAATGAACAGAGATATTCGTTGGTGTAGGATTTTAGATGGAAGCGGAACTCCTGGGACAACTGAGAGTTTATGAAAAAGTGACTTCCCGAAATTTCATAATACAAGACAGTCATGGAAATTTGAGTGATTTTTATATAAAATATGTACATGAAAGAAAGCGTCACCCTCAGAAACCAACAACTTTTCAAGCTACACGAGAGTTTATTTCGAGGTAACGTTGATCTGAACGATCGGAACTTTCAGGTCAGTTTAAACTTGATTGTCTCTATTAAATAGGAGATTTTGAGACGTTAGCTACAAATATCATTGAGCTTGGAGGTGTATTGTCAAGTGGACGGTTGTCTGGAATGCTACTTCTTTTCAAGAGTAGATCAAAAAATGTAACTCGTTGATTTTCCGATGTCGTAGGTATTGTTGGCACGTACAAGTGCAAAAAGAAGGATGTCTCTTTACGAGATGACGGCATTAGATGCCTCCATGAAGGAGATGCTAGTAGCATTTAAATTTCTGGTCACAGAAATTTTTGAGCTGATTAGAAAGTTCTCAATCTTCTTTCGAGACAGTGTTTTGGTAAGAATACTTGTGGAATCTTTTAGTATTGACGACAGTACTGCCATAAACAATGCGTTATCTACCAACTTTCTGAAAACACATCATGCATTTTCGAATACATATAATACGCAATGTTCTTTGGCGGGTACGTTTACTGCGTTTAACTAATAACTTACTCATAGAGTATCTCACGTGAGATATTTCGAGCGTCTAGAAAAGTCGTGTTCCAAAGAAGTCCAAAGTTATCGGAAATAAGAAGCCGTATCAATGCGAAAGCATATCAGTTACTGAAATGCATGCAGAAGTTTGTCAAATAATAAGATTATTAGATGTTCGAAATGCACCACATTCAATCATTTTGTCTATTACGCGAAGATCGCTGACGTAATTAAAATAGTCGTTTTTGAATAGAGTAAAACTATGAGACGTGATGAATCCAACGCACTCTTTGGACAGGAAAACTGTTATAACCTGTGATCTGCGTGCCCTGTATATTGGATAACGCAACGATACCGCCAATCAGAGAGCCGCACAAGATATAACAATTGGCGACGGGGTAGAAAAAAATCCTGAACCCTCATTTTCAACGTCAGCCTGTAATTGAAAGAAATTCAGTCTAGTTATTTCGAGCAATCAGCATCTAGATTTGTCATCGGTGTCCTTGGAAGACATTGGTTGTTAATTCATCATACAGTATATCTCATTATCGTGCTGATTCAGAAAGTGGCTATCTCTCCCGATTAATTACAGTTGATATTTGAGCGACAACGGCAGCGTTTCAAAAATAGCCAGTTGAATATTTTGGACAATTTACGCATACGGCTGCTAAGTAATCCATGTTTTGGAGATGTAACAGAAGTTGATAAACTAATTTCTGATTTGCATACCGAACTGGAAAATGACTGCAGAACGTATGAATGTGTCGATAAAAGCCTCTATGAATCCTTGACAAGCAGTAATGTAAGCGAAGCAGTCATTCATGATCCGCCCAGTGATCCAGAAATGTCCATTTCAGAGTCATGCCCTGTCATGGATTCAAATCCCATTGCCCCAGAAACACCATGTACAAACACTGACTTGTCTAGCTCACAGAAAGTCGACGTCTTGCTAAATGCTCATGAAATTATTGCAGTACGCGCCCACAAAGAGACCGAAAATGAATCAAGCAGCATAATGAAGACAGTTGCATCAAACGGAGCTCATCATTCCAGAACAAAAGTTCCTGACGAATCTGCTTATTGGGGTCCTCTAGTTGTTTTGCCAGATATGAGTTATCTTAATCACTCACATGCTTTTGATCAAATTTCTTACAAAAATGAGGAATATTTGTCGGATGCATCAAACGACGGTCAAGAACCTAATAAAATGTTGATAGATACTGATTATTCTAGTGATCGACTATCTACTAATGAGATTTTCAAGAAATTCGATGACAATCTTTCAGAAGAATCAAACTTTGATGACCTCATATCAAGCGTCGTTGATCCTCACCATTTAATCACTTTTAGTAAATTCTCTGTTGAATGTGACAACTGTGTTTTAAATAATTGTAGCTTGGGAATATGAGGATCCAACACTGCTTCGTGGGGGAGGATAAACCCGGAAATTTTAAAATCCGGATCTTCAAAAAGGGGAGGTGTTATATCCCGATAAGAATAATGAATGATAATTCTTGGGATCGATTTATGGACCAATACTATGAGTATATTTTTATCGTATAATTGTCATGTAACTAAACTGTTCATATTCATGTCCCTCTCATTATGAGTTCTATTTTGACCTATGAACTATTATTGTAGGATTTTCCATTCTTGAGTTATGACCTATCTATTGATTACTATCTCCCTCATTCACAGCCACTTTTGGCCGAATATTGTACAAATGTTATTTTCTATTTTATGGTACGTTGTGGTCGGTTTGATTGGCATATAAACAGAGTATGTTTGAAATAAATGATTCATATTGCAGAGGCTGAGGTTTGGTGTTCTGGACTCAACTGGCTGGGCTAGACACGGAATCGAGACCAATCAGGACTCTAGGCTGCTCGTACGTGTTTTGTGCGTCACCGGTTCGATCGATAATTCGCTGTTCTCTGATTGGCGGTATCGTTGCGTTATCCAATATACAGGGCACGTAGATCACAAGTTATAACAAAAACGATGTCTATATCTACAATCCATTTTCAGTGGCATTACAACACACTATTCATTATCACTACGTGAGTCTCTACGATTACTTTCATTATATGCTCTATTACTTCGATAATAAGCATACATCGTTGATAGTTAACATTTTCATTATTGAATAGTTAGCTCAGTAACATAGATGTTAAATACCATTGTCTTAACTGATTACTAATCACTGTTAGATACTTTGAGAATTGATTTTTCCAAATAGATGAGCCGACTGTTAATACAACTCAAACCACCCAATAAAAAGAGGCACTATCCACGAGACTTAACCAATCGAATTGCGAAAAAGGGTAGGTACTAGTGAAACAGTAACTATATATATGTCTTGAAAGTAGAAATAAGCTTAGATTACAAAATACGTTGAAGGAATACACTATTTACAATAGTTATAAAAACTGTGCTTTAGTGTCCATATGCATTAAACTTCCAACAATCGTATCACGCTCCATTTATTTTGACTTGGACACACGAAAAACGTAGCTCAAAGTCAAAAGATTTATATGAACTAATTCAAAATCAACATATACGATGTAGTGGAAAGGTAACGATAATATTTTTTTGAACGATACGGGTCCGATTACTGAACCTGAACTTTAATTTTCATTACAGTTGGAATGATTTAGTATGCAGTTGATTTATAAAGGCTGTACATAACTCGGTATGGTTAGCTTATGGTGTACTTGGACTTTGGGGGTTAATTTCGAACCAACTACAGTCATTCACAAACTTTAATTCGAACTGAGATATTATCTCAAGTCAGAAAAAACGAATTCCAACGACCAACGTAAATAAAATATTATGATTGACTGAATATATAAAGGTGACTGAATGAAACTATTGTAAACAATTTATCCCTTCATCGCAATATTATAAACTGGATGTGCTGTTAGCATCAACTGGAACTACTCAACATGAGCACTCAAATAGATATAAGTTTAATCTTTACCTCGCCCCAACCCCACTGCTGGGGATGTTGAACCATCATGGGACCACCTATTACCGAGTCGTTAGCTATTTTTATTTCGCAAATCTGAGTCTATTTTCGTACAGTCAAAACTACCTCTAGGATTAATCTTTCATTCTATTGCCTTTAAAGATGCCATTTTTTACTGGTCCGTGCCTCATTCAGTGTGTTAAATGTTTACCCTATTTCTAAAGTCTTTTATGCGTATACATTGTTTACTGAAGAGAATTTTCTTTGATCTATGTCAATAAATTTCAGAGTAACTGGAGTTAAAAATAGGGGGTTGTGAAATTCAAGTTTCAAAACGAAGTTTAAAGTTATTGTCATTCACACAAGATAAATCACTCATATAGGTTTATCTAACCATTTATTATCCACATATTAGGAATGATTTATCAAACAAACTACAGACAATAAATTAACAAAAATCGTTGAAGATTTAGCTTGACTATGGTTCAAGTTATAAATGATCGACACAGTATCTTGAGTTATTATTTATAGCTATTTATAACTAACATATGATTCAGGGAATAGCATCGATCGATACAACGGAATTATTTATACCAAACAAAAAATCAACCACTAAGTGAAGCTTATTATCATGGAACTTCAGAATAATCCATTAAACCGTTCATTCCCCCATACATTGTGTATGTCATACGTCAAACACCTTTTCTTAACTATTGAAAAAATTTGATAAAGTCAGAGGTCATTTGGATTCCCCTGGGAACACCACCAATAAACAGATTCAGTATCCTGTTAGTTTTGACCTATGTAGGTTTATTTCTAAACAACATTTCTTTTCAAAACCAAACTGTAAGAAATTAGCTGAATAATACAAACTATTGTAAAAGTAATAACAAATGTTGGTAAAATTAAGTTTTTGACGAAGAACTTTGAACAATTTACAGATTTCAACTCACTGTGTAGTCAACCATTCGATAGCTAAACGCATAGGGAAGGAATTTAAAACATCTGCTAAATTACCACATGAACCACCAATTGAAACTGGAGTAAATTTTCGGTTACGATCAGGAGCATTAGAGTCACCATCATCATTTTCATCATCAATAGAGGGAATTCCAACTTGACCAATTGCAAGAGATCCCCCGCTACCGGATTGTAATAATAAACTTTGTGCTGTACGTAGATCTTCCACACGTTCTTTAATTGTCATTGCACATAATACTTGTTCTAAACATGCTAACAGAAATGACAATTCACGTCTTTTAGCTAAAAATGAACCTAGACGTGTACTAATATTCCGCAAATTACAGGTGTTATTAATAGTACTAGTAGTCTGAATTGAGTTTGAACTAGAATGCTGTTTATGCTGAACAACAGATTTTTGACTAACCAATTGCATTTCTAAATCACCACGTGAATCTTGAAGTTTACCACGCCAATCCAGAAGTAATGAATGAACACGAGATATATGGACATCTCTAATATCCTTCAAAAAACGAAATGAATAAAAAGTTATTTTCAGATGAATATTAACGACATTTAACTCAGATAGAATCATTATCAGAAAAAATCTACATAAATATATCATACTGATTCAATTATATCACCGGGGCGATATAAGTATAACTATAGTCAGTCATTTGAGTCAACTTTTTTTATGTTACGTAAATAGGTAGTGAGTTTCAGTGAAGACATTCGTTTCTTAATAAATTAGTATGAAGTGATTTAAGCATGGAAAATTTATTTGTATGAAATGACTAGGATTTTTATTTCATTGATATGGGACCAGTAGATAAATAATATATAGTGGTTATTTACTGGTACAAAATCTGTCTTGTAGGAAAAATGATATTTCTGTACAAAGTTGTTGCTCGCTAATTGTATATCGTAAATACGAAGTATTCTAAAGTGATCCAAAGTGTACTAAACTGATGTCAACAACATTATTTATACGGATACTTTATTATAATTGGGTTAGTCAGAAGAATGATGCACAGAAAGATGGTAATTACTACAATTATACCTTATTGTTCATAAACTCAACTTTTTCCTTAATACAGACAGCAATAAAAGAAGGTATCACACTAAGTGCAGTCGTTAAATACAACTAAGTAGTCCAAACAAGTAAATAAGGTCGATTTTTGTTAGCATAATTCAAATTGGTAATGTGAGGTGTAAAAATTTGTAGCTTCATAGATCCTTAACTAGACAATGTCTGAACATGAATGATAAATGTATAGGCACGAAGTTCTGTCAGAAGCACACTTCATAAAATTAAAAACTAGGAACGACATATAAGGAAGCATATAGCAAACTAACTGCCCAGAAATAATCGTTACATTATTCATGAAATACTGATAAATTAAGGTATGGATGGATCATTGAAACACATATTTTAACAATAAGCAAAATGAAATAAAATTGCTATCTAGGAACTTAGATTATGAGTGATTAGACGAAATACACGAAATCACACATCTTAAACATTGAACACAATCACTGGTGAGTTACTCTTTTACTTGTAATGCTCTTAATTTTGCAAGTCACTGTTGCCCTCTAGGACGTTGAAAAAAAAAAGGTACCAGTGAGTACACCATTATTAGTGAATGAAGTGGTTTTACGGTACATTTTCTATATTTTGGAGGTCATTTTCATCGTGAACTATTGATGATTCAGTGACCCTATGTGATTGAACCAGCTACAAAACATAAAGGACCTCAGCCTGGTCGTCCTGCAATGTATGTGTAATGAAGAACCTGGAACTAGAACGAAATAGTTGTCTAGTGCTTCATACTTTTCAAAAGATTTACCATTAACACTAATTTGTGAAGAAAACTACCTTCGAGCTAAACAAAACACCATACACAATCATTTAATAAGAAAATACTCATGGATTTTTTATTGAATCATGTATCTTCTTTTTTTGCTTATACTCTATTATCCTTTTTTGGAATTGTTGTTAGCTGTATTGGAAATATTTCCAAGGTTATACTATGGTCCTCTTAATCAGTAAGAGATGGAAAAATTTAAGATTAGAGACCATATTCTTTACTTTACAATAATAAATTATAAAGTCATTCAACGATCACAGAATGAGACTAAACGTTTTTTGATATCGCTATATTTCAGTAATTTTTTCTTGTTTAAAGCTGTATATTAGTTTTCATAAGCTTTAAATCCTCACAAAAACCTACATGAATATTACAAAACAGTTTTTATCATGAATCAACATAAACTGGCGAAACCAGATAGCTGTTTAATTTTAGGTTTATGGGTCTACAGTAATGTATATCTGAGATTAGAAAGAAATCTAAATTACATGGTCTTTAGATCTGGCGGTGAACATTCCAACTTTAGATTACAACGAGAATCCGTTTCGAAATTCAGTCAATTCACGATATAGTGCAATTATCATGCCAAATAAAAAAGGTGTCAGGGACTGTGATGAACATTAAATAAATCAACTCAGTCTTATTATTAGCACAAATCCGCATTTATTAGAGTTCATTAAATGTTCCATTACGAATTTCTAATGAACATCATGTAATACACAATCTTAATATAATAATAATGAAATTGTGTACAAAAATTACTTTGTAGTAGTGTAGTTTTGTGCTATCAAGAATTTGTTTCTGTGGGGTCGATTCATCAGCACATTCTGGAGGTAATTCAACTTGACCTAAAATTCGAATAAAAAAGGTCAGAGATAAACACAACATTGTTGTGATTAGGTTTTAATCGACAAAAAACGTAGCAAAATGAGAATTCAGGTACGAAGGAAATAATAGTAGTTAAAAAGCAGTTTCAGTGTGTTAAAGAACTATATAGAATATTTAGAATTATTTGTTGTCTACTATGGAGAATTAACCCTTACTTCGTTCGAACTAAACACTTTTATTAACAATGGATTATGAGATGCGAAACCAATCATGTGACTAGCATTTTACTAATGAGCCAGTGAGTCGAAATCCACTAATAAGAATATTCCTACACTCATAAAATTTAAATAGACAACAATTCGTCAGTATTACTAGTTAGCCATACAGATCACAGTACCTTTACAGAGCTTTATTAATTCTATTTTTTATGCATATAAATCAAACCCATGAGGTTTACTTAAGACTATTTTAAGAACTTAGTATTAAAGGCCTCTTTAATGAACAGGTTGAAAGTGGGATTTTGTAATGCAGTGTATCATTCCTGTGGATTAAAGCGTATCCATAGATATCAAACAAATTAGTATTATTTGTGGTAATGATTTACCGAATGATGCAAAAATTGTGTGAATTAACAACTTCAACTTAATCCGCCTTAATAGACAGAACATTAAATAATCCACTAATTTTCCATTTATTGACAAGTTTGGGACAAGAGTTAACTCTCTTTAGTCTATTTGGATTATATGAGTAAAATTTCAGTTATTATTTTTATAAAATTAGTGATACAAGTACATAACACATCCAGGAGAATAAAACATCATAGAACATTAACTAACTGTGATGCATTAACAGTTCAGGTTGATTAGAAGATCAACAGGTATAAAATCAATATTTAAAGTTTAAATAGAAAAGGAAACCAATGGAAGCAATAGGTATGACCAAGGAATCCTATTAGTTTTTTTGAGATATGGCAATAGTTTAGGATAACCTGAATGACTAATATACAAACAAGCTAGAAGGAAAACACCCGAATGAATAACTATCAAAAATTTCACATCACATTTATTTTTCTAACACGGGAAAAAGTGAACTATTACGAAAATTATTATTAGGTACGTTTGGCTAGGCTATATCAAAGTCGAATGAAGGTGAGGAGTGAAGGTATTTGAATTCAAATATGATAACTTGATGTTTAGTTCAAACCAAAGGTTATAAAAGCCCTAGTTTTATCAATACAAATGCAGCTAAACTAATGAAACAACAACATTCCACTACGATTTCTCGTGCTAGCACAAACAGCGAATGCACAAGGATGTAGAATAATCCATAAGAATCAACAAAGATTGATAAGTGATAGCAGTAATACATGAGAGCAGAGCAAACAACTGCAAAATACTTCACGTTCTGATCATAATGGATAAAATAATGAACACCTATTATTCTTCAGGTTATCTTTAAAAAATTGGAACGTTCGGCCATAACGGAATCCAAAGTATTGAATAAGAAATTTAAGGCACCAACTTACGTAAACAAATGGAAAACTGAAAATGTTTATGATCAACAATATGTTCAAACAACAAATAAATCCCACTGATGAGTGAACAAAGCATATTTAACTAGGAAATTTAGATAGGTTTACTACGAAATAAGCTAAGATTCAATAGTCTGGGAATATTTCGAGCAACATTCTTTTTGGAAACATGGGTAACAATCCCGATGGGATAGTCAAGCCAAGCTAAATATTTTGTAAGCTGCAGTTATAAATACGTACACAAGAATACAACGTACAGCTGTGCACATCATAGTTAAACTGTAAAGGTTCTATGATAAAAGATTAGATATTTCAAATGATGAAACCTAATAGTGAAGAAGAAATATTTAAATAAGTAGTAAGCAAAAATAAAAACTGCACGTTAATATACCTAATTCTATCCCAACAACTTCGTGAATCAGCGCTTCAAATGTCATTGGAACCAAAAGGGGAGTTACGTAATCCAGATCTGTGGGATCAAATAGAAATAAAATCTACAATCAGTTAATCTTCGTAACAAGAAAGATTTGTGCATGAACTGTGGATTGAACTATCAGAAGAATAGAGTAATAATATTTTACACTACGTAAATGGCAATATATATTCTCAATGTCAGATTATTTGGAGAAAACTGAGGTTAAATTTATTTTATTCAATTCTTAAAAGTGTGTTTAGTATAATAATGATGTGATCCCTTTATAACCTATTTTTTCACTGATTATTGAAAAAAGCAAAAAAGTTATGTCCCATAGTAACAATCAAACATGTTTTACCAATAATATTGTTAATGTACAAAAGTTAATATTCAATAATCCACTGAATTTTGCGCCAAATTGTGAAGACAACTCCCATGATTTACAATATAACTCATATAGATTTTCAGTAGCAAAGCAGCAGTTCATCGACTAAAGCTTCCAAACTCCAACGCAATAGTTCAAACCATCACCCCATTCACTTTTCGATTTAATCCGCTAAAAAAGTGAGATTTCAAACTAGAATAGAAACTAATACCTACTACCAATCAGATGGATAATACTAAGGCTTGAAGTGTTGGATATTAGGATATAGTATTATTGCAAACACTAAAAAATGTTGTGATACATATTGATAAAATGGTTAAACTTACACATGACGGAATGGAAGCTGCAGATGAGAATACCAGCCATTACCTTGAATCAAAATTACATGGTTAGTATTATAGTACTGAAAAATCAAGCTCAAGGCCTTAAAGCATGAGCTGGTTAGGTTGCATTTATTTACTTACTATTACTTTTTCAGTCGTTTTGATAGAAATTTATTTTTAAAGTATAATTTTGTCTCTATTGTTTACAATGAAAACAACCGTTGCAAGTATAAAGCAAGTTGTATTTTATGAAACCATTAGTTTTAGATGGGAGGGCTTATTAGGCATTCATAAACCTCAACGTTTTTATATTATGAACTGACATAATCTGAAAAACCACTACAAACCAAAAAGCACAGACACTGAAATTTTTCAACAGTAAAAAAATACAGAGAACAAGAATAACGATAAAATGAATAGATAAGTAACACAGACGAAATGCAATAAGACTTCAGGAAATAAAAGCAAAAAAATCATATTTTCAAACTACTGATTCTTAACATCACTATGATCTCAATTGAGAACTCAAGTCATACAATTCAGGATAGTGGTCAGTAACCTTATGAATCAGTGTTGTTTTGATTTAGCTATCATGAGATGTCGTTATTGTAAAAAAAAATTAGCAATGGGTAGAATCCTTTAAAGTTGTAAGTAATCGTATCCTCATGGTATTTCCTGCCAATCAGATCATCGTCTTCTTGAAAGAGAAAAAGAACACCCATTATACATACCGTTTGAATACTGACTTTAAAACACTGTTTAGTAATTTATTTCGAAAAAAAGGTTCACACTGATTAGACTCTATGGTAATGTAAATAATGATTAATTTTCCGTATTATTTTTAAAAGAATCACAAAAGGGAATGTATGAGAACTAACCACGACTGAATACAAGAACCAAAGGTGGTGGACGTGCAGAAGTAGTTGACAATGACGTAGATGATGATTGTGAGCCCAGAATTTTTAATGAGCTGGTAGGAGTTAAGACACTTTCATCAGAAACAGATACATTACTTCGATAATTTGACTGGGTACCATTAACAGTTGAAACCTTCCTATCCAAACTGACCAGGCCTGACTGAATACAGTATAAACGAATACCAGCAGCAACCACATGAGATGCCTCTCCGAAAGCATGAATCTAGTGGTTAGTGAAGACAAGCACTAAGATTAATAAAACATGTCTACATTTACTGTTGAACAAGTGCTATGATAAATGTTTAGTTGAAAACAAGAGGGAACAGTGACTTGACGATGGTAAAGGTGTAGTAAGCCTATTCCACTACTGTATTATCTATCTGTTCATTGTAAGTTAGACACTTGATCCACCATGTAATTTTATGTGAGTCTGATTGAGCACATGCAAATTTTTAATCTATCCTCCCATTGGTTGTAATACACAGACAATCAATAAATTATCCATACTTGATTAACACTTGAAAATATATATGGATTTTTAACACTCACACTCACACACATACACTCTTGTTTTCCCTGTGTGCTTGCTTCGTGTACACCTGCGAATTTTACCAATCCTTAACAACAAACTATCTCTACAACTGATGTTCGGGCTTTTGAATAATCTCGAGTAAATCCATAATTCTACTAGGAGATTTAGCCTGCATTAAGTACTCAGCTAACGGGATACTATTTATTAGAGTCAGATATAGAGGATACTAGCCTCTACAAAGGATTACAAGAATGGAATCAATTTATGATATAGAATCGAGGATATGTAGTAATCAGATGTTTACTACTTAGAGTAAGGAAAGGAAGTACATTGACACTACTGCGACATATTTTAAGTCATCCTCTCCTACCTATGACCTATAACTGTGGATCAACAATAAAGCTCATTTTAACCTAGGCTATCGCTAATAGTCTAGTTACTTATTAAAAGGTTTTTACAAATACATTACGTTATAAATTTACAATAAAAACTCAATTTTTAATCTTCAAAAAGCTGTGATTTATAATATATTGATAAAATTTACGTGTTAACTTAAACCAAAACTTAGCAGAGTGAAAAATTCTACCTACACATTTAAATGTCAGAAGTGAATATTTTACCATATATGAATTCAATATTACTGAAGTACGAGTGATAAAATGATAAACTCTTAAAATCAGTAATCGAAACAAAATTTCGGTTACAATAATGTTCATAGACACTTTATGATGTAGAAGGGTGAGATGAAACAAAATTTAGAAAGTAATGTAGATAAATTCAAAAATAATTCGACTATTAAATCAATGTTTATGTAGTTAAAAACTAAAGAATCCTATTATGATGATGCACTACTTATTTTCAGGAATCTGAAAAACCACATTACACCAGTCAAACAGGGAATTAAAAAATGAGATGATAAAAAATAAGTCTAAAAATTGTGTGATTGCTTTGAAACGACTATGGACAATAATATCTCCAAAAGAGTTAATTAAGCCATAGTGTAACATTATAATATCATATGAAATAACAAAAGAAGCCCCGAAAAAGTCAAAAACCATTAGAAATACAGATAACGTTAATAAAATAAGTTTAATCACAAAAGCGGCATCAATAGACTAACATAAAAATCATACAAACATACTAGTCTCTGGTTTTGCACAATTAATTTGTTTGTGAGCTGCTTAAAAGGTCCGTTTGTACAATCATATTATATAAATGCTTATTATAGCTAAAACACTACGATGACAAGTTTTTTTTATTTTACCTAGGAGTAATCTATCATCAATGTTTTTGTAAATAATATTATAGACTTACTCGACAACCCATGGGAGCTAAATCACTTTCACTCGTTAATTTAAGCAAACGTCCCAACTCCATGCCCATATAATGAGGCCAACAATAATCTTTGTATAAATAGTAGTCTGAAAATAGCGTCGGCAAATTCAATGTTAACAAATCTGTATCTAATTGAATCCAACTGAGTGATAAACTTGTGGTACATAAATGTCGACCAAGAAAACCTCGAGATTCCAAAAGATAGGTCACTGCTACAGTCTAAAAAATGAAAAAAAGTTTGTTAAAATCAAAACGGGATATTTAAATTAGAATATACGGAATGGTAGTATCGTATGCTTAATTTTCACCAAATTTAGGTTAGAATTAAACTCGAAGTTTAGACTAAGAGTTTACTTAAATTATAATGTGACTACACATAGACATTCATGTAGTAGACTATATTTCCTTAGTAATAATCACTTAACATTTACGAGCATTAAATAATATTAAATAACATATTTTATTGAGATTGGTTGCTAGTGGATAGTTTAAAGCACCTAGAGCATGTGAACCATGTGAACGCTATACATAATTACTTCATTTTGTTTCCTTATCGTTAGTAGCATACATTTAGTTGATACATCGGGAGCAAAACATGATAAAACGGAAATAACAAGGGAAGTAAATGCTTTTTCCTTGATCAAACGTGCGAGGTAGATTTGATTTGATGTGCATAAGTTTATTGCATGTTTGGTACTCGATTAGGTTTTTTTCTTTTTTAATAACTCATTTTCTTCCATTAGAGAGGAATAACGTACTCGTAAAATCTCAGCGAATAAATTTGAAGCAAATACAACGTTTCGCCCGGCAATCTAGTTCAAGCTTTTTCAAGCAAATATAATCAAATATCAGAATTGTCGAATATAAATAAATACATGGTTCTCTGGTTAACTGTCTACTAAATTTATTTATTTATTTATTTAAACACATAAACATTGGTACAAGGAGGCACCAAATACATATGCGCCACGTAAATCATTCGATTTGTGTGAGGGTTGGGATACTGCCCGGGTGCCCAGACCGAAGCAGGTCATCCAAACAACGTTACCAATGTTTAAAGTTGGCATTCTCTTCAATGTGTAAGAGACATGTGATATGAAACGAAGTGTGTTAGGATAACAGATTTGTGTATTTGTAAGTAGTGTGAGAAGAAATTTTATTCACTATATATTGCATTTGATCGGTGAAAATATACAAGTCTTATATATGATATGAATTAAATATGTCATAGCATGTATAAAATGAAGATAAATAAACAGAATAAAGGCATGAATTAAAGAGGAAGAATGTATTTGTAAATGAATGTTTGTGTTATTATCATTGTTCCAGTTAATTGTTTAACATATTCAAATAAGACAACTAATTAGAAGCGTTGAATGTAATTGCTGTTATTCAAATGATAAGATAGATAAAATGGAATGGTGTTCAGGTTTACTCATTAATTATTAGTTACCATGGTACAGCTAATTTTATTCCATATCTCCTATTAATGCTGTTTGGATTTGCCCATATGAGTAGGATTTGCTGACTTATAACCTAAAAATATCTCTGAATATGTTGGCTACCGGAATACACTAACTTTTAAACAATTGTTATTTTTCCTTTCAACCAAACAGTCTAGAGAAGGTTATTTGCGTTCAAAAGATTCCAACTCCTTATGAATTTGATTTTGTCAGAAACGCTGTTGACTTGCCTAAACATTTCTTTTAAACCATCTCATTTTATAATGATAAAAGTGTCATCCATGTATCTCAACCAGACTTTTAGTGGAAGGGGGCACATTGAGGTTGCATTTGTTTTCAATGAATGCAAGGATAAGTTAGCAACAATTGGAGAAACGGGTGATCCCAAAGCTATACCCTTTGTTTGTCCGTACAGATCTCATCCAAAATTGAAAACAGTTGAATGTAAACATAGATCCAGCACTTTAATATTATCTGAGGGACCTAATGGACATCGTTAAGCTGTGTCAGAATCTAAGAGATTATGTACAATATCTAGAGCTTTCTTAATAGGAACGTTGGTGAGCAAAGAGCATACACCAAAACATGCCATTAATTCATCTTCTATGCGGATAGTAGTGATGTCTCCCAATTGTTCAATTTATTTTTTTATTTAGCGATCAGTCTCAGTTTAATGTTTCGATCAACTCTTTGGAATATGATTTTCACCCCGATAATTCCTTACACGAGGAATGAATAATATGGTTAATAACTCATTCTTAAGGTATTTGGGTATCAGCCACACGAAGTATGAAGGGTGGTGATACTACTCAGTTGCCCAAACCGAAGTAGGTGGAGTAGGGTTCAAACTTGCGACTTTGTGGCTGAAAGCTGAAACTTTTATCCACTGTTAAGTTTTGATAACTCATTCAAAACTGTCATCCAGTAATAGATATCTACGTGACTGTCAAATATGAAACTACCAGCTTAATGGATAAGCAGACTTAAATTGATAATCAGCTATCAATCATGATGAAGTGCATGAAACTGAAGTCTAATTATATAAAATTAACGATTATATCTAACTTCACCTGGAGTCCCTTCGGCGGCTACTGCCGGTCCCAAGCCCGGATAAAGGAGGAGGGTTGAGCATGAGGTTAGCGTCCCCATCCCGTAGAAAACTAACTCGCTAAAAAACGCTAACCGGAAAAAATTAATCAAACCTTCTAAACTCTGCCCTGGGAGTCAGAAGGTCTTCTTTTAGAAGAACTATGACGCCTCATGATGAAAGCCGAATTCCTTCGGAAGTTACGAGGCCGATGCCCCTTCTGACAACCAGAGCAACCATTTATTTAGGTACATGGAATGTTCGTACAATGTGGGACACCGGAAGAGCCTTCCAAATTGCTGCAGAAATGAGAAGATACAACCTAGAGGTACTTGGGATCAGTGAAACACATTGGACACAAGTTGGACAACAACGACTAACTACAGGAGAGCTCCTGTCATACTCCGGCCATGAAGAAGAAAATGCCCCACATACACAAGGAGTTGCATTGATGCTGTCTAAACAAGCAAAAAATGCGCTTATAGAATGGGAATCTCATGGACCAAGGATCATCAAAGCCTCCTTCAAAACAAAAAAAGAGGGCATTTCAATGAACATCATCCAATGCTATGCGCCTACCAACGACTACAATGAAGAAGCTAAAGATTAATTCTACAATAGGCTGCATTCAATCATCGAAAAGTGCCCAACGAAGGACCTGACCATTCTGATGGGAGATTTCAATGCCAAGGTTGGAACGGACAACACTGGATATGAAGACATCATGGGACGACACAGACTGGGAGGAAGGAACGAAAATGGTGAGAGATTTGCAAACCTATGTGCCTTCAATAAACTGGTCATAGGTGGCACCATATTCCCACATGAACGCATACACAAAACCACATGGACTTCACCGGATCACACAACACAAAACCAAATCGACCATATTTGCATCAACAAAACGTACAGGAGGACTATAGAGGACGTGAGAACCAAGAGAGGAGCTGATATAGCATCAGACCATCACTTGCTGAACACCAAGATGAAATTGAAACTCAAGAAACACTGGACAATGGGGCGGACAATATCACAAAAGTTCAATACGGCCTTTCTTCAGGTTACTAACAAACTCAACAAATTCAAGATAGTCCTCAGCAACAAGTTCCAGGCCTTTCATGATCTACTCAATGGAGAAGGAACTACTATGGAGAGCAACTAGAAGGGGATCAAAGAGGCAATCACTTCAACATGTCATGAGGTCCTGGGTCACAAGAAGCACCATCACAAGGAATGAATCACTGTTGGTACACTGGATAAGATTCAAGAAAGGAGGAACAAGAAGGCAGCAATCAATACCAGTCGAACAAGAGCAGAAAAAGCCAAGGCACAAGCTGAATACACAGAAGTAAACAAACAAGTGAAGAGGAGCATCAGAACCGACAAACGTAAATATGTGGAAGATTTAGCAACGACGGCGGAAAAGGCTGCAAGAGAAGAAAACATGAGACAATTGTATGACACGACAAAGAAACTCTCTGGAAATCGCCGCAAACCAGAACGACCAGTGAAAAGCAAGGAAGGCGAGGTAATCACCAACATTGAAGAGCAACAAAACAGGTGGGTAGAACACTTCAAAGAACTCTTGAATCGACCAGCTCCACTGAACCCACCCAACATCGAAGCAGCACCCACTGACCTCTCAATCGATGTTGGCCCACCAACAATTGAAGAAATCAGCATGGCCATCAGACAAATCAAGAGTGGCAAAGCAGCAGGACCGGACAACATCCCAGCAGAGGCACTAAAAGCAGACATAGCAGTAACTCCAAGGATACTCCACATTCTCTTCAATAAGATTTGGGATGAAGAACAAAAGTACCAAAAGACTGGAAAGAAGGACTTCTGATCAAAATACCGAAGAAAGGCGATCTCAGCAAGTGTGATAACTACAGGGGCATCACTCTCCTCTCAATACCGGGAAACGTCTTCAACAGGGTATTGTTAAACAGGATGAAGGACTGTGTAGACGCCCAACTTCGTGACCAACAGGCAGGATTCCGTAAGGATAGATCGTGTACAGACCAAATCGCAACTCTACAGATCATTGTGGAACAATCAATTGGATGGAATTCATCACTCCACATCAACTTCATTGACTACGAAAAGGCATTTGATAGCGTGGAGAGATTAACACTATGGAAGCTTCTTCGACACTACGGCTTGCCTCAGAAGATAGTCAATATCATACAGAGTTCATATTATGGATTACACTGCAAAATCGTTCATGGAGGACAGTTGACAAAGTCGTTCGAAGTGAAGACCGGTGTCAGATAAAGTTGCTTACTCTCAGCTTTTCTCTTTCTCCTGGTGATCGACTGGATCATGAAGACGTCAACATCTGAAGGGAAGCACGGGATACAATGGACATCTAGGATGCAGTTGGACGATCTGGACTTCGCAGATGATCTGGTCCTTCTATCCCAAACGCAACAACAAATGCAGGAGAAGAATAACAGTGTGGCAGCAGCCTCAGCAGCAGTAGGTTTCAATATACACAAAGGGAAAAGCAGGATTCTCCGATACAACACAGAATGCACCAATCCAATCACAATTGATGGAGAGGATTTGGAAGATGTAAAAACCTTTACATATTTGGGCAGCATCATTGATGAACAGGGTGGATCTGATGTAGATGTGAATGCGCGGATCGGCAAAGCAAGAGCAGCATATTTAACACTGAGGAACATATGGAACTCAAAGCAACTGTCAACCAACACCAAGGTCAGAACTTTCAATACAAATGTCAAGACAGTTCTACTGTATGGGGCAGAAACCTGGAGAACTACGAAAGCCGTCATCCGGAAAATACAGGTGTTTATTAACAGCTGTTTACGCAAAATACTTCAGATCCGTTGGCCGGACACTAGTAGCAACAACCTACTGTAGGAGAGAACTAATCAGATCACAGCGGAGGAAGAAATCAGGAAGAAGCGCAGAAAGTGGATAGGACGCACACTGAGGAAAGCACCCAAATGCGTCACAAGACAAGCCCTCACATGGAATCCTCAAGGCCAAAGGAGAAGAGGAAAACCAAAGAACACATTACACTGAGAAATGGAGACAGATATGGGAAGAATGAACAACAATTGAATAGAACTAGAAAAGAAGGCCCAGGACAGAGTGGGTTGGAGAATGCTGGTCGGCGGCCTATGCTCCATTGGGAGTAACAGGCGTAAGTAAGTAAGTAAGTAAGTAACGATTATATCTACAGTTATGTTTGTCGATCGTAGCATGAAAGTAAAACATTGTGGTTTAGCGGAAATCCATTTCTTTAGCCTACAATAACAAATTTTCGGGATATGGAAAATGATTAGACTTTCCCTATATTCTTCGCTTAAAAATTTTGTTGCTTGTTTAAATAACCTTTCTAGATAGTAAATCAAAAGGGATGCGAAGCGAAAGTGTCGTATTTTCACATAAATTGCCAAGTATATGATGAGTGCTCGCGTACTTAACCCAGAAATCACACTAACAAATACTTGAGAGAAGAGTCTTTAGAAAATCAAGCAGAAAAGTGTGTAATATATCAATGCTCTGAGCAATTAACCACAAAAACGTTAGATACCTCTTTGGGGACAAATATTATCAATCTCGTTCGTTTGATATTATTCGATTGATCCACTTCACAATGTTTAATTACCGATAAGCATGAGCTAAACTCTGGTGGGACCATATAAGCAATCCTAAATCAGATAAAAAACCTCATATTAGTGAAACTGTAAGACAAAAGCATATAGAACTCGTTTACATTTCAGTCCCTAAGATGCCTTAAGTATACGAAGATAAGTACCTGAGATATTCTATGCACCTGTGAATTACCAAGACTTGATGTTGAGAGCTGTGTTAATCTGCAAACGCATAGAATAATCATTATGAATGATGGAAATAAACTTGGTACTGAGGTAGTAATTTGATACGTAGTTCATGGACAGGACGATGTGAAAGAGAGTCTTTGTCTTCACTTTAGCTGGCTTAATGTGATGAGTAATTAGACTACGAGTAAACTTTGAAGTTTTAACACCAAGATAGAATATTTAATTGACTGAATGAAATTTGGGAGCACATTAGTCCCCAGAGCGGGCCGAAGTAGTGTTATGTTCAAAATTAGTCAGAGGTTGATGCGTAGTTACAACTCCATCAAAGGTTAGTTGGCAGTTTAATACAATCGAATTTATCATCAAATTCGGTTGGCGAATTTCCCGGAAACAAAAATGTAGATGACGACAAAAAGTTATAGTGAGTCATTGGAGAAAGCTTACTGCTAAACTTGCTAGCATTTAAGATAAATTATCTAGTTACAAATCCGATCGACAAAGACTTAAGTGTCTCGAGATCCTGTTCTTCAGCATCAGAAATGAGGGCCTTTGGGTTTTAGTCATATCCTAAATCAGTCAATAATGTACAAAGCAGGGCGTGCCATAAATATGTATCAACTCAATTTGATACGCCATTTGCTTGCTTAAACAATCGTGGTAATACAGCTGGTTCAAAATACTACAGGAAAGCTATGTTATCCAATAAAACAAATACACCTTGAAGAAAACTAACTTACCTCTCATAGTCCGCCTTCGGAGGACTTTCAGCAATTTTGAACACCTTCGTGACCGACAACTGTCTTAAAATGGACATGCTGGCCACACGGTCGATTGCTTTCAACAGCTGCGCATCCACAAGAAGAATCTTCTGCCCTGGCAACTACAATCTAATCATCATGAGTTGAAAGTTACTTTACCAGAGAGAAGACCCTTCCAAACTCTCTGAGAACGGACTGACGTAAGCGTTCAGTTGTGAATGACATTTAAGCAAGGTTTAGTTGCTAGCAGGTTCGGGTTTAACATGAGAGCATTTCGCAGTTTTAGAGCGAGAATCTGAGAGAAAACATGAAAGTGTCAGTCAACAATCTATTTATTAAAGAAAGCAACTGGAAAATATAAACATGCGTATGCGTAACACAATATGCTCTTAGAGTCACCTAATCTGATTTGGAGAGAAAATATTATCCGAGAGTTTATATGCGCCCAAAGTGTATTGTATAATCTCTATAAAAAGATGTGCACATCATCATAACATAGAACACGTCAAATCTTGCCTATAAAACCAAATTTAGAGTCCAGATTATGATAGTCCTGTATCTGAGCCATATAAACGTTGATTTTGAAGGATTGCTGAAAGTATACACATGGGAATCTGTACAATCGTTAATTTGAGACAATTTCGTAATTAAAAGTGGGAGTGGAGAAAGTTTTAGAATAGATTCATTTGCAAAACGTTTGATGATAAAACATCTTTGGGAGGTTCAGTGAAACAGTTTGAACCTTTGACGCTTATTGTAATACTCCGCATTAAATGGTCAGTTAGTTATTTTTCGAAGTATACAAACACCAAGAGCCGCCACACCACTATACTACATGCAATATAACGTTCAGTCTTTAGTAAGTTTGCGTATAGCCTGAAGGCATCTTGTGTTTGGGGGAGTGTCAGGGGTAGTAAGTGAGGTCAACTGGAGCAGAAAACATGATAAAAAACGGGCCGATGACTCACTAGGCACACAGAATCCCTTTGGGTAAAGAAAAGAGATTAAGTCTACATGTATACGTACACACTAGAAGTTGAGCTATTATCGAGAGTTTGGGTTATTACCCTATAGATTTTTCATCACCAAAAGTGGTTAGTTAGTAAGAGTTAAACTAGAGTTCCGAATTGGGTTAACGGATTCGTATCGGTTTTCAAAAAAAACTGACGTCGGATATAACGCCATACTGTACCACTTTCCTGTTTGCAAACTTGTGAGATCTAGAGCATGATAGAGAAAGGGAGAACACTACCTAGCTTTACTAAACGCTCGTGATTAGACGGTGAATTAGATTAGGTATGCTGAAGGTCTAATTTAGAAGCAATATATCATTTAATTTAGCTAATGCACCATCTAGAATTCACTGTGTCACTGTATAATAGATATTCTCAGTGATTGGAAACATTCTAATAACCAATTGGTAATATTTAAATGATACCAGTATTGGCTAATAATGACATATACGTTACTCATCACTAAGCACTAAACTTTCAGCAAAATAATTGAGGTATTATACGAATTTCGATCGGTTAACTCAAGACTGTCGTTATACTATGCTTTTACCGTTGATGTCGAAAACTTCGGACGTGTTACGCGAACTACATTCGAACTCGGAGGAATTTACTCGGCCTTCATTAGTAGTGTGTCTAAACAACAAAAAGATTCAGATTTGTGTAGTAATGACAGAAGGTCTACAAACTATGTTGTTTTATTCCAGTATGTTTCTGTGAGTGTGTAGTCATTTCCTGAGAGAGCCAACTTTAGGTTCGGACACCACTGCTTCAAGTAACAGGTTTCAAGTTTTTAACACTCATTGTGAAAATCTGTATGCTTTGTTCTTTCTTGGCTTTTCTATTCGCCTGCTATGTTCTGTGAGATGTCCCGATCTAGTGGGAAGAAAAAGGGAGAATATGTTAGGCCTGAAATGATTTCTTAGCATTCTATAGATCAAGATTAAATCTCCTTTTAGTCTGCAATAGGACAGAGTAAAGTGGACCAGCTTTTCAATCCGCTCTTTGTATTGTAAACTTAGGAGTTCTAAAATTTCACGGGTGACTGCCCTCTGCATATTTTCCAGGATATCCGTGTCACCTGTTAAACAGGGAGTTGCAGCCTGAGCGCAGTTCTCAAGCTTAGTTCTCACTAAGGTTGTGTATACTGTAGTGAACATGATAGAATCTAGCTTGATGAATGTCCGTTTTAAAGCTAAGAGCGTTCTAAACCAGTTAGCTGAGACTTCCCGGCAGTGGGCCGTCGTCTTAAGATCATGACTCACTGTCACCTCAAGATCCTTATGAAACCGGACCACGGGTAATGGCACTTCCCCTATGCTGTACCTTTTAACCTTTGTATAAACAAAATGTACGTAGATACATTTTGCATTGATATGCACCAGCCACTCTTTAGACCAGTTAATCACATTATTTAAGTCTGCCTGCGTCTGGCCAGATTTTACATCGTCAGTGTATAATAACATTGGGAACCGTACTATACTTGGAAGATCATTTATATACAGTATTAAAAGTAAAGGACCTAGGACAAAACCTTGAGGTACTCCACTAAGTACTGGTCTCCAGGTGGAGCACTTCGAATTTATTTTTACTTTCCGTCCACGATATACTAGGAAATCCTTAAGTCACTTTAGAAGACTTCCAGCAATACCAAGATTTTCTAACTTCAATAGCAGTCTTCTAGTTGGCACCTTGTCAAAAGCCTTACTGAAGTCTATGTAGACGACATCCACTGAGTTTCCGTTGTCTGGCGCCTTTATCCAATAACCCCTTCCTATTAGGAGGTTTGTTGTACAAGATAAACCCGTCCTAAAACCATGCTGTTCTCTGTTTAACGGGTTATTGGTAACCATAAATGTCATTATAGTCTATTTGACTATTCTTTTCAGTATTTTAACAACAACACTGGTGAGGCTTACAGGTCTGTAGTTCCATGGAATTTGTCTTGGTTCTGTTTTATGTATGTGAGTGACGATTTTGTATTCCCATTGCATAGGCAACACACTCTAGTCAAGTGATATGTTGAATATCACAGTCAATGGGGCCGCAATATATTGTGCAATATGTCTCAAGATTTTGGTGTGCAGTTCATCTAGTCCTATTGACTTTTCCATATATTAGGCGCTAAGAGCCTTAAGTACCTCGTCTTAATCAAAGTCCACGGTGAGCAGGTGGTTTGTTGACTATTTATTTGGGTCTGGTTAATTGTCTAGAAGAGGCCCCGAGTGAAAACTGCCCCAAGATAGTTAGCCATAGCCCCTAATTTTTCGTGATCTTCCTCTATCATTTCACATTCATGCCCTTCCTCAAGTAGGTTGGTAATCCAATGACTCAACCTTGTTCTGTAATTTATGTACGAGAATATTCTCTTGGGCTACCTGCGTGTGGATTGTGTCAAATGCATTTCATATTATCTCTGTGCTTCCAGAATTTTAATTATACACGTGTTTCTTACAGACCTGAATCGTTCCGTCGTACCTGCTGTGCCAAGGTTGATAGCAACATTCTTCTTTTGCCTTAGTGAACGTCGAATATCCCGGCCTATCCAAGGATGGTTGTGCTTCTTATTGTTTGGGAGTGTCCAGATTATGTATGGTTGAGTTACCCGAATGTATAACTGCCTGAAATTAGTACGTGCTTCTTGTACTGATGTCCTAGAGTCAATTTGCCAGTTTTCAGCCGATGCTGCGGAGTTTATTGCCCCCATATCGGCCTTCCATATATTAGGGCGGGCCTGCGCAACTGTTTGATAGGCAATCTGAGCCATGAATTTAAATAATATAACTGCATGATTGCTTTCCCCTAGTGGTGAAGGAAGGGTCTTTTGACAGACGTCATCACCGTGTGTAAAGACTAAATACAAAAGAGAGGAGGGGCTTCTTAAGTCATATCTTGTGGGATCCCTAATGTGTTGGAATAAAGCTAATGCAATCCAAGTTTCTGACAGTTTGAGATCGAATGACGTTGTCGATGACCTTACTTCTAAATTTACCCAGCTTATAAACGGTGAATTAAAGTCGCTTACTATAAGGCTTTTACTCCTAATACACCAGGACTCAAGTTTCTTTAGGAGGAAGTCATCTACTATACATTCTGAACTGCCATATACCACAACTAATTCGAAATCATGCCGTCTACATTTCAGCTCGCAACGCACCAATTCACATGTCCCAGAATCATGTGACACTGTCTCAACTGCTCGTGTGGTTAAGGTACTCTTCGTGTACACGATAACTCCGCCTCCCCTACGGTTTATGCTATCAGTCCTATGCGATAAAAAACCAGTCAACTGAATTTCATTAACGAACACTTCTGACGTTAACCATGTTTCCGAGACAGCATTAATATCCACATTTTCTTTATCCACCATTGTCTTGAGCTTCGCCATTTTACTTAGTAGGCTGTGAGCATTTGTGTGGCACACCTTTAATTCTGTGGAGATCTTTCCCTTACCACGCAGAGTAGTTTGTGGATCGTCTTGCTCCGAACTTTTTAAATTTGAGAATTCTTATGAACGATGTTTCTTTCACCGTTTCGGCGGCGCTTATTAGCTTCCACTCCTTCAGTTTGTCTCTTAATACGGTCAGCTAGGGTGAGATCCTCACTGGCGTATATTCCGGATCCAACCAGTTTGCGTGTTACCTAGAATTAGGTTCCTTTCTTCAACCGTGGCAAATGTAACCTTCAAGAGGCGGCTATTCTGAGGACTTTCTGAGTCCACCTTTTTTCCTATTCTATAAAGCTTATAGATGCTAACTCCTAAAACTGTTTCTAGGAGTATCTTGCTTATTAAGGGCTTAATATGACTGAGGTCGTGCTCAAATATGGACTTTGGTTCCTTATCGGAAGATTCGCTTAACTTATGAAAAATGACTGACCTCCCAGCTAGGTCCGTCTTGACACGTTGTGGAATTTTAGTTCATGAAGTCGTATCTACCCTGCAATCCTATTTCAATTCAGCGTCAGACGCAAAAGTTACATTCCATTTTCTTACTTTTCAATACTTCGGAGTGGCTGTGAGCCACTCATTTACCTTATTTTGTCTCTTGATTACATTCTCTACAGTGCTCAGACTTGGCTCCCCTATAGTTTGTATTGCATTGATATGTGAATCCGGAACTGAGCCCGCATATTCATATGCCTCAGTGCTGTCCATAGGTAGTTTCTTCATCTCAATGCGCTTCTTCCTTTTCCTTGTGAAAATGCCTACATCCA